ACGTGGCTGGCTTAGACTAACTGCTGTGGATTTCATTGACTGGTTCCATGTTTTGGTTTGACCGCCACAAACTAGCTCTTTTCCAGCCTGACCCTACGCCAGTCAGCTAACATTGGCCATTGTCGAGGAAGGCGATGACTAGGTGTGCATGCGTGATACATGTCCTAACCATGTCAGTCGGTGTAACTTCACAGCCTCGTCGATTGATTTCCCATCCCTGCTTATGTAGGACTCGACCGATGCCTTACTTCAATATTGCTCACCTTATTATGCCACTTCACACGGGAGATAGAGCGCAGACACCTATGATCGAATACAGCTAATCTTTTCATGTCTTCCACTCTCAATGGCCAGGTCTCGCTCACAGCTGGCCATAAAGGAGGATGGAGCGAACTGTTAAGCAGTACACTCACCCTTTGGTCGACAGCTAGCCGGATATCACGTCTACTAAGCGGGAGACGGCGTAAACTGGTATATGCGAAACTAACCCTCTGTATCCATACTGAGATTTCGTCAGAGATCAACCAGTTGGCGTTGGTTGATGGTACTTCCCAAATAAGTGAAGCGGTCAACGTGCTCTACCACTTCACTGTCTATTTCTAAAGTAGGAGTCAGTGTAGTCCAGTCAGTCCTGTAACATCATTTTACATTTGGAGGGAACGAATCGCATGCAAGACGTTCGTAGATTGCGGCTCATGGTGTTTAGAAGACTCTGGATTTTGTCAGCGAGTCCCTGGGTCAAACCCAACTACACCTACCTATCACGGTTTAGGTAGCCAGTTAGTATAGTCAGCTGTCGCACAGCATATTTAATGAAAAGAATCAGCATGGTTAATGAAACATATGCTTCTGTGTTGTTCAGCTTCTCAGTCCACTTATTGTGATAATAATAATAATAGTTTTATTCTGAACAACGTTTATATAGTGTACAGAATTTGCAGCAGGATTTATCGCATGGCATTTTCTGTTTGTCCAGCACCATTAAATAGATTAATTGACAGTAAAATAACGTGATACATTTCTATCTGACCTGAAATGCAAATCAGTCCACTATGATATCTCTTCTTTTTCTCTCTTTTGAGAAATACGTGACATTTTGTTAAATGACAGTTATATAAAGTTCAAAAGTACATTTTGTAAACCAAGGATACCAAACCAGTCAGCTCATCTCATGTACTGGGATAAGCTGCCGTCGAAACTGCAGGTTGTAAATGTTTTAAATACTCGCCAGAGTAAACAACACTTTCAGGGATCATATGTTACTAGATTTAAACAAACTGAATAAGGGGAATTATGAATTTATTTATTTTATTCCCTTACGTTCCCAGTGGAACCAAGGGGGGGCATCAAACTAGAGGCTTGAAGTTCCAGTAGCAGTGGTGTTTATTTTTATAGGATGGTGTTGCCAGTCTAATGTCCAACCTTCTCTCTTTACCAGTCTTATTACTGGCTTGGAGAGAGGTAAAGGAGTGCGTCGCTGGCCGGGGTTTCGAATCCGGGACCACGTGGGGCGTGGTTAGCGAGCGTTCTACCGCTTTGCCACCGACGCAGTGAATAAGAGAAACTTTTTATGAGATATTTTGATGAAGATTTTCGGTAACCTAATTTTTTAAGCAGGCCGCCAAATGTATTTATTATTTTTATTATTCCTTGTACTTAATGATAAGAGTTTAGTATTATATCGTCGTTGAACATAGTTGTCAATATACTTAACCCAAAGTTCCTATTATCTCCGAAGACGCTCGAATCGACAATTACTATGAACGATATTGACCTTAATTCAAAAACACAAGGACTTGTAATAAGTTGTATTGTTCGGCAATTAAAATCAATATCGGTGCAAAGTCTATAAATAAATCTTTTACAAGGAATGTATTATACTTTTATTCGTATTCTTTCGTCGTCTTCCAACTTTTACACAATTGAATCATTTGCGCCTTTGAGTTGCCCACCAGTGGCAACCAAAGTCAATGAAGCAACGTTCAATGTTCACAGTCTCATTAATAATCTATACATTTTAAGGTTTTACCTACTCCCCAGAATCCAACTGTTATCTTTTTTTTGGGGGGGGGGTGGGGAAATTACACTTCAGAATTGTTAATTGTATATTTTTCTTTGTTTGTGTAGTAATCACAAATTTGCTTTTTGACCTTGTGCTTGACGTGGGTTGGGGTCCCAACTACTCATTTCAGGCAGTAGTATGTATGGCGGCGAATAGATGACTGGAACGCTGGAAACAACACTATGAGGAGCAGTTTAATTAGCCTATAGCCACGCTCAACCTGCCGAACATCCAACACCTCGCTAAACGGGATATAGACACAGGTCCTCCGTCCTTAACTGAGGTTACTAAATCGGTTACTAGTCTGAAGCAAGGCAAAGCAACAGGACTTGATGAAATTAATCCAGAGGTATTTAAGTACAGTGGAGACAGTTTACTGTCTGCATTAACTGAGGTACTAGGCAGCGTCTGGCAATCAGAAGATGTCGCGTTGGATTGATGTAAGTCACTGATTATCCCGATATACAAGAAGGGAGACAAGTCTTCCTGTGATAATCACAGAGGGTTTAGCTTGACTAATATAGTATCTAAAGTCTTAGGCTCAATAATCATGCGTAGACTGAGTGGTGCTCGGGAGGCACAAACACGAGAGAGCCAGGCAGGCTTTAGACCAGGAAGAGGGTGTATTGATCATATCTTCACCCTTCAACAGATTCCAGAACAGAGGCATTCTTACCGGCACCCAACAATCACTATACCTAAAGGTGGAATTCGATTTTGGCAATGCTTGACTGTAAAGGGAATGACGAGAAAATACATTTCACTGATTAAGGCACTGTACTCGAACTTATGCAGCCAGCTGAGGGCTTACCACGAGTTGTCATCTGAACGGGTGACGACTAGTGGTGTCCACCAAGGACGCCCATTATCCCCATTTCTATTCAATTTCATCATAGATGTGTTAATGGACTTAACCCTAAGTGACTTCAGCAACTCAGGGATTGACTTGCTATCAGGGAATAATCTCATTGACTTAGAATATGCAGACGATATGATCCTTCTAGGCGAAGACGCTGACGAAATGCAGAGTCTTCTGAACACCTTGAGTCACAATCTACGAATGTTTGGCATGCGATTCGCTCCCGCCAAATGCAAGATGATGTTACAGGACTGGACTACATCGACGCCTAGTTTAAAAATAGGAAGTGAAGTGGTAGAGCACGTTGACCGCTTCACTTATTTGGGAAGTACCATCACCCAACGCCAACTGGTTGATCTCTGACGAAATCTCAGTATGGATACAGAGGGCTAGTTTCGCATATACCAGTTTACGCCGTCTGTGGCGTAGACCTGATAACCGGCTGGCTATCGGCCAAAGGGCTGGTGTACTCCTCAGCATTTCGCTCCGTCCTCCTTCATGGCTGTCGATGAGACATGGCCGCAGATGCATTCACTTCTTGTGACTTATGATTCCCAGTGAAAATATATTGTTCTTCGTTATTATTGTTCCTTTGTCTCATAACTCTGTTTACTGTGTCTATTTTGCATTTCTTCTACTTTCTTGTGTTGCTTTTTGTGTGCTACATGGAGGTAGTGTGGCGACTTGAACTGGTGCACATCGGTGCAGAGTACTATGTTGACAACAGACAGAAAGACAGAGGTGTATTGCTGCGTGGTATTATTTTAACTGATCTCTTGATTGCCATTTATGGTGTAATAATTAGTTTACAGATTTTTGACCTGAAGATTTTTAATTTCCAAAGAAAAAAGGCGTGGTTATTTCTCGCATTATGATATGTGTGTAACTTGCAAGCGATCAGTTTTCGTTTGATTCCTCTGTAGACATCTAGGCTTTTGATTTTACAAGTAGTACACAGATATCTTTACTATTGTTTTATTTCCTTTGTATTATAAAGCAGGTAACTTTAGTTCGAAGAATTTCATTCTCTTTGGGTTACTGTTTGAATTAAAGATGAGTGATGATGGAGGATTTCATCATGAGGTAACATCAGTTAGAGAGCCATTGGAAAACCGGCTGGGAGTACTGGACAACTGTTTCATCCTAGTTCCGGACTCTTTAGCGGTACGCAGCCACTGGGGTTTGAACCCAGGACCTTCTGGTTACAAGGCGAACCAGCTCGTAGACTATTGAGCCACTGGAACCCGATCCAATGGTCCTTGAAATCTAACTTCCGCCGATTCTGCAAGTGGTTCTCTAACTGATGTCAGCTCATGATGAAGTCCTCCGCGCAATCAAACAAAAAATCCGTACAAAACCAATACCAGAAGATAAGTGATGATGGTCATATCGGGTGTAGCAGCGATTAATTTTTAGTGATGCATTAGGTTTTATGCTGAACTCTAGTAAACTTGAGACTTTACACACGACTATAAAAAAACAGTTATGTTGACCCTCCACTATATGTATATGTACGTTTGGAGTGGGGATAAAAGCAATCGTCGAGGTGTTTCCATTCATAATATATATGGCAAATACTACACTTGCTTAAAAATGTTGATAAAACACCTTTAAAACAGTCTAAAGTAACTATCTGACAGATTTCAGTATTTGTCTAAGCACATAATACCAAATTACGTGAGACCAACACTATGTGAAAAAATTCAAACCATATTAGACCGCCAACGCGTCTGCCATCACCTCCTTTGTACCCATTGAAGTGGCTTAATGATATACGAGCTCGCCTTGTAACCAGAAGGTCCTGGGTTCGAACCCCGGTGGGTGCGTACTGGTGAAGAGTCCCAAACTAGGCTGACGAAACAGCTATCCAGTACTCCCTGCAGGTTTTCCAGTGGTTCTCTTACTCATGTCAGCTCATGATGAAATCCTGTAACCAATCAAAAAATCCCTACAAACCAACACTTGGGCAGTAAATTCTGTTATATTATAACTTGTATATTTAATCTATACAAATTAAAGCTATTTAAAAAAATTTCCTGTCTTTTCTGAATTTGTTATCAATATACTTTCTGGACATAGAAGTTTGGCGTGAATTCTTGGACGATTGCATTAGGCACAAGACTGCTGATGTACAGGTAAGTATGCGTAATACTGAAGTAGTTATTGTGTTTGATAAATTATGATTACAAAAAAATCAACATTCAGAAGACATATTCCGAGATGATGCCATTTCGTGAGTTCTTCAACAATCGCGTTACAACTAGCCTGACTGATAATAAGAAAATGTTTAACAGTTAATCATTTGTTTTTAATTAGAATTTAGTTTTTGAATGGTGACTAGCAGTGGAATCCAGGATAACGCGCATTTCGTCCTATCTGTGACTCGTCGTCTGGATGTACCTGCATTTCCCAGTGAGTGATGGTGTTCCCACCGAGGCTTGAACCCAGTGCCCGTAGTTTCAAATGCCAAAGCGTTATCCAGATAAAGGTGCATTGTAATAATGAAGTCGTATTTTGATAGGTCAAGTAGTCCGTGGTAGTGTATTGTTTTCCTTACGCATAGTTTAGATGTATAATGGAGAAGATCTGTAGTTCAGGTCAGTCAGCCAGCCTGATCGAAGTGATCTAGACATCAAATGGTTAGCTAGTCGGAAATCGGATGGTTTCAACTGATTCGGCTCTATGAGCTGAGTCGAACCGGATACATCTCTGTGGAGCTCAGTTCCGAACGAGTAAAATGGTCGTCCTGTGTGTTAAATCACTTCGGTTTAACTTAAATGAGTAGTATACAACTCGTCGTGTCAATCAATCAGTAATATATTTAGTTTTATGCAAATATGCTTATCTTCCTAACACTTTACCATTTATGACGTCAAGCAGATCACATATTTTGTATATGTATGTGTGGTAGAATTAAATTGGTGGATGGTGACTAGCAGTGGAATCCAGGATAACACGCATTCCCTCCTATTTGGGACTCGTCATCTAGATGCACCGCATCCTGGATTCCACTGATACTCACCATCCACCAGTTTAATTCTAATTACATGCCTAGACATCGTTGAAGCATCTGCACAAGAAGCCGACAAACATGTCAACCAGAGACCCAGCACTTCGGTGCAATCAGTCAACGGGAAAATCTAAAATTCTATTAAAAAATATATATGTGATAGAGTCATATACATATTCCAGTGAACTATACAAAGTATTTCAACTGTTTTTTTACAATTGGAATCTAAGTTAAAAGTACGAAGACAGATTACTAAGGACACCATAGTTGTTACTATGTCTTTTTGTTTTGCAATATTTGACGCTCAGTATTTCTAATTGATGCAAGATACAATACTTCAACAACAATAATAACGAATGGAATTTTTAGTACTTTTAAAAAGTAATTTTTGTGTTTATATTTTCAGAATGCTGCAGTAAATGCATATCCATGTTTCCTGTCAACCTATTTGTACAGTCGAAACGGTGAACTGAAGACCGACTATCAAGGTATATCAAGTACTTCATATTATATATATATATATATATATATATATATAATTCCCTTACGTTCCAAGTGCAACATAGGGCTTCAAGCTAGAGGCTTAAAGTTTCTGTAGCAATGGTGTCTGTTTTTACGGGATGATGTTGCTAGCCTCATGCTCAACCTTCCCTCTTTACCAGTTTTTTATTACTGGCTTAGCGAGGTAGAGGAGTGCGTCGACCAGGGATCAAACCCCAAACCACCTCATGGTCGGGGAGCATTCTACCGCTGTGCTACCGACGCCATACATGCCTTCCTTAGATCCTAATCTGTCTTCAGTAGCCTTAAGGTGTTCTGATGCCCTATACCCTAGAAGTGTTCTCACTTTCTTTTCCTGTCTCAAATTGTAAGTGACGGTATACCACTCATGCGGAGTCTTCTGATTACCGAACATTTGCAAGGTATCACGGATTAATCAAGCTTCACATGAGAAGCAGAACACACTTCGTATATATATATATATATATATATATATTAAAGTTCTACGTTGAAACCAGTCAGTTTAATTGATTTGCACTGTTTACAAGTTTGTTTTTTTCAACACAATCATCTGATGATATGCTTGAGCATATTTGTTTTGTCAACTACTAAAATTTGTTGACAGCTCTCCTGGCTTTTTAATCTTCTCCTGCTTTTGGATTAGTTTTCTACCGCATTCATCCGAATTTAACAGTAGTTTATGAGTAATCTATTACTTCTCAGGGGTTAGCTTGATCACCAACTGATATCGGTCAGAGAACCACTGGAAACCAGAGGGCGCTGGACAGTTGTTTCGTCCTACTGGCCTGGGACTCACTCGTCAGTGCGAACCCCATGATCCTACTAAGGATTGGACCGGTGGCCTTCAGGTTATGTCACATCCAGCTCGTTAATCATTCAGTCAGTTGAGGCGAAATTCTAACTTCTGTCAACGGGCGGTTGTAGACGCGACTGCAAGTCACTATCATCCGTGAGTATTTATCCTCACGGCCTACTTCACTAGTCATGTTTTCTCACCAGAACTCCAGACGAAATTTTGTTTTGCAGTTACTCACTAATGAAGATCTGATTAAATTTTCAAGAGTAAGCTTGTAGGAGTTTTTGATTTATCTCAAATTTTTAATTACTTTGTGTAAATCAGCTTTATTCATTTTTTTTCTATTTTTGCTTCTTTTATACCGTGTTATTTCAGATCTACTCTATAAACACTTCATGCTCCAGTTAACTACTAACTGTGAGTCGACGTTGTCTGGCTATTTACAAGTTATTAGTACTTCTCCATGTAGTCTGTATACTGGACATGTTGCTGAGTTGTTGGATAAAGTGATTAAAGCCTGTCAACCAACTGCACAAACACAATATTGGATTAATTCTCGGCAATCAGCTTTAAAAGCTCTTGTTGCGTAGGTTATTATTGATAATTTTATAAAAATAAAAAAGCATAACGATTTCATTATCTTGTAGTATAGTTCATTACTTAAATTATTATTATATCCTTTAGTCCCTAGAGGAACATGGGGCTTCAGCCCCACGTCTCCATTGCGTTCGGTTTTCTACTAGAGTTTTCACCTGTTCCAAACCTCCCCACATGCTTTCATCTCCTCTTCAGATGACCTTCTCCATGTCACCCCACCCTCGCACTGACGATCAACTCGCCGCTTCCTTTTCGGGTTTCACTCGGGTGATGGCTTGTCTAGTGATGTCACTTGATGGTTCCCTCAGAGTATGGCCAGCCGATCCATCTCCATTACTTCCTGTCTATTTGTTTCACAATCAGTTCCTGGTTGGTTCGCTCATTGCCAAAGATCCCTGTTGCTGATCTTTTCCGGCCAGCCATCTGATCTTGAGTACTGAGCGAAGATGAGCTGGCTGTTGATGAAGGTATGCAGTTTGTTTGAGGTGCTCTTCATGACGCACAGTGAAAGTCTCTGATCCGTATAGTAGCACTGACTTAACGTTGAAGTTACAAATCCAGATGTTATTTTTGATCCTGAGTAGTGCTGTTGACCTCCACACAGACTTGAGAGTAATGAAAGCTTGTCTTGCTTTCCCGATCCTCGCTGCTTTGATATCCTACTGAGTTCGGTTCGGCCTTAGTTGAAACGATGCTTCCCAGGTAGGTAGGTAGGTAGGTCAGGGAGGTTGTTTCTTTCAGGTTCCTCCCATTTATGCTGGCTGACTGTTGTCTGTTGTTGTCGAAATAATCACTTCCTGCTGAATGGTTTTGCGTGCTCAGTATTGGAAGACAATAGATAAGAAGTTGACGTGTCAGCCTGAGACCGAGCACTTCGGTCTAATCAATCGATGGGAAAATCTAAAATTGAATTAAATAATTAATATGACCCGTTGCACAAGAGGTGGCTCTCGTGGCCGAAGTGGTCTTTGGCGTTTGAAACTATGGTGGGAACATCATCACTCACTGTGGAATGCAGGCACATCCAGATGACCAGTCCCAAACTAGGACGGAACAGCTATCCAGTACTCCCGGGTTTTCCAATGGTTCTCTAACTTATGTCAGCTCATGATGAAATCCTTCGTGCTATTTACAACTTGTAAAATAGTGATCACTTATCAAATTTTTTGGAACGTATAATCTTTACTTCGTAAACACACCTTATAGAAGTACTAGTGTTAGTCATTCAGTGCAATCCAACTCATTGATTTGTTGGTACAAGTCTATGCAGTGAGCAGTGAAACAAATCTGATGTAATTTCGTTTGAATATCACCTTGTTGTCCAGAATGAAGTTCCTCAAATACAGTCTGAATGGATGCATCGTGTTCAGTGCACTTATTCAAATGGAAATGCTTTAATAATAATAATAATTACAGCTTTATTCCAAACAGTATTTGTGGTATAGGTATGGAATTTTCAGCGTGCATTACAATATATTGCATCTAATTACCTCATAAATTTTATAAGATTTTAAAATCAAAAAGCAACACCAAAAAAAGAAGATAAGAAAAAATAAGAGAACAGCGTTGCGTTTACATTTTAAACAATGCACCACATGATATGAAATATAAAATTAGTGTGTATTAGAAGATGTGGACAACAATATAATAGTAATGAGGAAAGGAAAACAAAACTAATGGGACTATTTGTTAGAGTGCCGCAGTGAGTTTATCGTGTCATACCTAACGGATTTCCCATCACATAACAGCTGTGCCAGATATGGTACCGTGGAGATTTTGTATTTGGTAGTCCTAGCATATAGCCTCCTTCCTATAGCTGCTTCTAGTTCTACCAGATGAAATGCAAGGAGACAGCTGCGCATAGAGAGGATGCTCGGGGTCTGACAATATTGTATTCGCCAGTTTCTTACATGACATTATATGTCTATCCACAATAGTGTTAACCAGTTGGTTTAACGATATCCCACTTTCCCTACTAACCGCTTTTACTGCCTGCCCTTCTCAGCAAAGCAAAGTCATTCTTAAGTAGTTCAGGAAAGATTAATGGGGAGTAGTAAAGGGGGATGGGTAGAATACAAGAATTGACGAACTGAGAAAGCAAAGACTGCTTTATGCCAGACTGCCTAAATTTCCTAACATAGAACGTTAAGCGAAACATCTTTCTGTTTTTATAATAAAATCTTTTTGGCAAATTTTTGTCGACTAGTTATATTTCTCAACCTCGCTTAGTTTACTGGCCTAAAGAAGTGGAAGGATTGTGTGCGTGTGTGTGTGTGTGGCTCCAGCTTTTCCACACTGTCGCTACTCAAGCTCCGAAGCACAGAATAAAACTTATTCTCCGTCGCAATAGTGGGGAGGGTCGAATGACACCGTTTGGTGGAAGCCTTCAGAAAACGAAAGTAAGCATAAGGACGTAGGATGCCTTCACCATGCTTAAGGCCTGAAAGGCTGCTCAGATCGCAGAAGAAATGAGAGTTTTCTGTCTTGATTGTTAACAGGAATGTCAGTAATCAATCTATTTGGGTCACACTTAGTCGGCAACTACACGAACGCTTTGAGAGGGAGTGGCTAATATGATGTCACTAACAGCGTGGAATCAATCTCCTTAAGGATTATGACGCTGGTAGTCGTGAAGACACCTGGAAATGATGGTAGAAAACATGATGGTATGGAAAGGCGCTACCGAAGCCTAATGTGCCACTTGTAATTCAGGGGAATAATACCAATGATTACTTCTCATATGCCTTCATTATTGATTGTATTCTCTATCCTAAATATCTCCAGGTTATCCTGTTTTGTGTTTCATTTATTCTGTTTAATCGTGTGAATATGTCCGCCTAAATATTTCGAATGAATCTATTGCATTTAATTAGTATCTATCTGTGTTTTGCCTTTGTTTCCGAGTAAGTTTCAATGTTTTGAACGTGCTACTGAATATTATTTGAGTAGGCTTAGTTAATCCACGTTTCATCTATAGCGATTCAACTTTATTTGTGTTTTGATCAAACTGGGCTCATCAAACTAACTGCTAAAACTAAACTGACAGCTCTGCCTATACTTCAATTTTTTAGCATTCCAAAAAATCTTGGACGGAATCATCAAGAACTAGACGTTCATCTTTTGAAATCTATCCTGCCTGTGTTACTTAACTCTTTATCCGATTATTCAACAAATTCTAACGGGGATGTAGGTTCTCTGTGAGTAATTATTTCTTATCAATAACATTTGTGACATGTTTTCCCTATTGGCTGTTGTGACTAAAATTTTTTTTCATATTCACCAGTTAAAACTATGTTAACATGTTCTGTATATGCCCCGGAGTCTGTCTGTCTGTCTGTTTTCGACAAAGAATTTTGCACCTATATGCACCAGTTCAAGTCTCCACACTCCATCCACGGAGCAGACGAAGCAACAGAAGAAAGTAGAAGAAATGCATAATAGGGAAAGTAAACAGAAGTGTGAGACAAAGGAATAATAATAACGAAGAACAAAACAGTTTCATTGGAAATCATGAGTCAGAAGGAGTGGATGCATCTGTGCCAGCCATTGAGAACGAGGATTTTGAGCCATACCACCAATTGTTTCCAGCCGGTATTTGGTTTCTACCATCCCGAGGACGCCAACCAGTCAGGAAGTCTACACCTTCCTACGTGCCTGGCTTAGACTAACTGCTGTGGATTTCATTGACTGGTTCCATGTTTTGGTTTGACCGCCACAAACTAGCTCTTTTCCAGCCTGACCCTATGCCAGTCAGCTAACATTGCTCATTGTCGAGGAAGGCGATGACTAGGCGTGCATGCGTGATACATGTCCTAACCATGTCAGTCGGTGTAACTTCACAGCCTCGTCGATTGATTTCCCATCCCTGCTTATCTAGGACTCGACCGATGCCTTACTTCAATATTGCTCACCTTATTATGCCACTTCACACGGGAGATAGAGCGCAGGCACCTATGATCGAATACAGCTAAAATCTTTTCATGTCTTCCACTCCCAATGGCCAGGTCTCACAGACAGCCGTAAAGGAGGACGGAGCGGACTGTTAAGCAGTACACTCACCCTTTGGTCGATAGCTAGCCGGATATCTCATCTATTAAACCAGAGACGGCGTAAACTGGTATATGCGAAACTAGCCCTCTGTATCCATACTGAGATTTCGTCAGAGATCAACCAGTTGGCGTTGGTTGATGGTACTTCCCAAATAAGTGAAGCGGTCAACGTGCTCTACCACTTCACTGTCTATTTCTAAAGTAGGAGTCAGCGTAATCCAATCAGTCCTGTAACATCATTTTACATTTGGAGGGAACGAATCGCATGCCAAACGTTCGTAAGTTGCAGCTCAAGGTGTTCAGGAGACTATGCATTTTGTCAGCGTTGTCGTCCCGGAGTAAGTTTACTCACTCACTCACTCTCCCTTTACATTCCCAGTGGAACATAGGGAGCCTCAGATTAGAGGCTTAAAGTCTCAATGCGAGCGGTGTTTAGTTTCACGGGATGGTGTTGCTAGCCTCATGCCCAATCGTCCTTCTTTACCAGTCTTATTACTGGCTTAGAGAGGTACAGGAGTGCGTCGTTGACCGGGAGATCGAACCCGGGATTACGTGAGTTGTGGTTGGCGAGCATTCTACCTTTGTACCAACCGGTATAGTGTACTATTAGATTCATATCTCCAAATGGTGCTTTCAAAGTATCATGAACAGACCCGCCAATCATTTTTTTTAGCCACGAGGTTTATCATAAATGTGTTATGCATGAAATTGCGTTTTTCATTTGATAATATTTTCTATTCTTTGGGTTCTTAGTGGGAGTATGTACATATATAGCTTCTATATTCCACGTTTCAGTAGTGATGGCGTTTTCTTAACGGATGGGGTTTCTAGTCTCATACCTAGCCTTCCCTATTTGAAAACTTACCAACAGCTAGGCGTGATTCGGTTGGGAATCGAATCCGGACCTTACGCGTGGTTGACCAGTATTCTACGGTGGATACTATCAATCACCCATTTTTCTACTGGATATTGACTGTATGTAGCCTATGGTTTTAAATCTCAAAAATTTAAATATACAGGCCATTCGAAAGAATATTCCCAATGTTAGGAAGTTTTTTCCTTCACGTTCCCAGTGGAAAATAAGGCCTCAAGCTAGTGGCTTGAAGTTGCTGTAGAAGTGTTCAATTTTACAGGATGGATGGGGTTACTAGTCTCATGCCCAACCTTTCCTCTTTACCAGTCTTATTAATGGTTTAACGAGGTAAAGGATTGTGTCTACCGGCGATCGAACCCCGGACCATGTATATGGTTGGCGAGCGTCCTAACCCCTATACCACCGACGAGAATGTTAAGAAGTTACAAGGTGATAAATGTTTGGTTTGTGCGCCGCGTGTATGTGTGCATATTGTGATTTGGTTGGCAGACACACACGCATGTAATTGTTCTCCATAGGACGTACGGACGTTCCGATAGTCAACAATCGAAAAAAATAGGTTAGGATACTAGTTTCATTTTAATGGCACCCTCAGTGACCATTAGATTTTCTTTTACTGGAATATATATGTGTTCTTTTATCCATAATACCTACAATGATTAACTGCTAATTACATTATCTTGTATTTTTTTTTTAAATGTAAACAGTGTTCGCGTAGTTGGAATGCAGTGTTTGGGATCATATATTGATTTTCTGGTGAATAGTCAATACACAAGTTCTATTGGCTCAGATGTGTAAGTCCACTTCGGTATATATATATATATATATATATATATTCAAAATGCACTTCAGATATTACCATTCGGTCAGTCGAATATAAAATAAACTTTTTTAAAATAATATTTACCACATTACCACAGAATGGAAGAAACGATGATCAGCATAGCACAACAAGCTGTGGAGAAGATAGACAGAACACGTGGTGTGGCTGGACAAGTATTTGCTTCTTTGCTTCATCACGAGTAAGTTGTGATATTTATAATGAAATATTATATATTATGTAATGGTGGTACTTTTGTGTGCATTATTGATTAACCACAGTTAGTTGACTTTAATAGATTGTGAGACTGCAGGGTACTAGATAAACTCCGTTGTTTTGTTTAATTGGCTCAACAAGATCCTTTAATCGATGAAGCTTATTTCTATTGATATATGTGTAAAACTTGGGCACTGTAGTAGTAAGTAATTCCATACTAGTTTGTTTATTAGTCTGTCTGTTTGTTTTTGACATAGAACTTTGCACAAATGTGCAGAAGTTCAAGTCGCCACACTCCGTGTAGCACGCGAAGCAAGAGAAGAAAGTACAAGAAAAGCATAATAGAGATGTATCACACAGTGAGTGAAACAGTATTATTTACTGGATTACACAGTTTCGAACAAAATTTATTATCAATTGTAATCACACGACTTCGAAACTTGAGTTCTATAGTTTTCTTTGTCTTCTCCTATTTGCCGTATGGGTAGTATAATTTTCAAGATATCTGGGACAGGTGGTGAATCATTCCTATCACATGTATTTTCATAGGTTAAACTAGTAGAACAAAGTCAGTCAGACTAGCCGAACATAAATAACTAGCAGTAAAATCTAGATTGGTTGACCAGAATAAGGTAAGAAATCTAGAGAATGGTTCAGCTATAGCACTCATTACATGCAATTACACACAACCATACAATAAGATAGATGGGGTCGGATGACAGTTTCAAAATCTAATGTAACAGCTGGGTGGAGGGAGAGATTGATAACTGGCTAAGGCTTTATTTATCGAATCAACTGCAAATACATGTAATAGGAATGATTTAACAACTGTCTTCGCTCTATACTAAATGAAGATCAGATGGCCGGGTCGGGATGAATCACCAACAAGAAACTATGGGAACAAACAAACAAAACAAGAACCAATCACCAACCAACAAACATGCAGGAGAAAGTGGAGATGGATTGGACACTCACTGAGGGGGCCGCTGGATGACATCGCGCACGCGTCAGGCCATTGCTCGAGTGGAACTAGGCCGAAAGGGAAGCGGCGAGTGGGACGTTAGTGCAAAGGTGACATGGAGGAGATTGTGTGAAGAGGAGTTGAAACAGTATGGACTAACTAACATGGATGCAGCTGAAAAGTACAGCAGAAGGAAGACAGAAGCAAGTGGAGACGTGGAGTTGAAGCCCTATGTTCCACTAGGAACCCAAGAGAACAATAATATAATAATAATAACACCTGTCTCAGATATCTGGACTATAAAAACTCTCGTCTTATTCCTCGTCTGATTGTGATTGATCATAAACACTAATATTATTGTTTCTGAATGTACATTATCTTGTATTTATTTTTATTCCAATATCTAGTAAATTCTACACGTGTACATAAATGAAGGAAAATGTTGTGTGAATAACTTGATATGAGTGGCAATAATTTGTGCTCGAAACGTAGTCGCATCAGTAAATATTACTGTGTAACACTCTGTGATTTATCCAAATGAAATCCTATCCATATTGGAACAAATAATTTCTTAATCACTTGGTTTGGGGTTCGAATATTGGATAACCATTTCAAATGCGATCAACCTTTCGATCACTTTAAAACCTTGAAGTGATTCTAGTCCTTTTTCTAACTCATCGCCAGAGCATAGTTGGCTTACTGGCTTGTTTGATAGAAATAGCATACTTAGTACTACTATTATGATTTTAGACAGTCATCGTCACCATAGTGTTGACAAGGTGCACACTACTCAACTGACTTTTGTGCTGTGTTAAATCTTGAAGTAATCCTTTTTATAGATGGTATATTTCGTTGGATTATTTTGGTGTGTACGACTTAAGAGCAGAATTCATCAGTCGAGACCAACCGATACAAAATGTACACAGCAAAACACAAGTTGTGCCTAGTGATATGGTTTCCAAATATAAATCGATTGCATCTCACGTATTTGAAAAGGAAGTGAAGTTGTCATTAATGATGTCTTTGAGATGCATTACTTCCGTATTCCTTCGTCGGCTCAACTCAATGCTAACTGGAAGTCAACAGGAAATGTATTGTGATGGGGTTACCCCCTCCACTCCCACAACTTCTCGAATATGTCTCAATTAGTTTTGATATATTTTTTTGCTTGATTAAATTTGCCCATTAATAAATTTCAAAAGACTGATTAGTGAACAAAGAGTATTGCTTTTCGACAGGCTCTTCATCAGGTTCTAAAGTTGTATATCCATAGCAGTTATTATTATTGACAACAGGATTTAATGAATTTGCCGACTCCACAGCAGTTTAAGGTAGTAATAGTGACTGGACCATTTTGTGTACGCTGAACTCCAGTTGTTTTAAGCGAATTTCAATGCTCCCTGCTGTTTAGAGTATCCAGTACCTAGAGGCTTTTGGGAGTTTATTTCGTACCCGGTAGACATTATTATTATTGTATCCTTTAGTTCCTAGAGGAACATAGGGCTTCAGCTGCGCACCTCCATTGACTTCGGTTTTCTGACAACTTTTTCACCTGCTCCAGGTCTGTCCACATGCTTTCATCTCCTCCTCGCATGACCTCCTCCAAGTCACCCTTGGACGACCAACTCGCCGCCTCCCTTTCGGGTTCCACTCGAGGGCTTGTCTAGTGATGTCACTTGATGGTTTCCTCAGCGTATGGCCAATCCATCTCCATTTCTTTCTGCCTATTTGTTTCACAATCGGTTCCTGATTGGTTCGCTCCCAGAGATCCCTGTTGCTGATCTTTTCTGGCCATCTGATCTTGAGTATTGAGCGGAGACAGTTGTTAATGAAGGTTTGAAGTTTGTTTGAGATGCTCTTTATGACTCGCCAAGTCTCTGATCCGTATAGTAGCACTGACTTCACATTGGAGTTGAAAATCCGGATCTTATTTTTGATGCTGAGTGCTGTTGACCTCCACACAGATTTGAGAGTAATGAAAGCTTGTCTTGCTTTTCCGATTCTGGCTTTGATGTCCTCGTCAGTTCCGCCTGTAGTTGAGACGATGCTTCCCAGGTAGGTGAAGGAGGTTGTTTCTTTCAGGTTCTTCCCATTTATGCTTATTGTGGTCTGTTGGTGTTGTTGATGTTGGCTAGGAATCTTCATTATCTCTGTTTTATCTATGTTCACGTGAAGTCCTATCTTTGATGCTTCTTCTGCCAACTTGTTACTTTTCACTTGCATATCTTCCAGTTTATGGGAAATCAGACATATATCATCGGCGAAATCCAGATCCTCCAAGTCTTTTGTGTCAGTCCATTTTATGCCTGTTCCCTCGTTGGTTGCCGTTGTCTGTCGCATTATCCAATCAATTGCAATCAGGAAGATCATTGGTGATAGTAGACAGCCTTGCCTCACTCCCGTCCTCACTTCGAAGGCTTCCGTAAGTTTCCCGTTGTGGATTACTTGGCATGCAGCATTGTCGTATAACTGTTGGATGAGGTGTATAATTGTCGATGGGACCCCGTAGTAGCGAAGTAGTTTCCAAATGACCTCTCGATCGACGCTGTCGAAGGCCTTTTCAAAGTCGATGAAGTTGAGATAGAGAGGTGACTGCCATTCCAAGCTTTGTTCAATGATGATCCGTAGAGTGGCGATTTGATCAATACATGATTTGTTTCTCCTGAATCCAGCCTGTTCCGGACGAAGTTTTTCATCTAGGGCTTGTTTGATTCTCTCCAGGATGATGCGACTTAGTATCTTGCTTGGAATGGACAGAAGCATAATTCCACGCCAGTTTTTACATTGACTTAAGTCTCCTTTCTTTGGAAGTTTGAATAAGTAACTGTTCTTCCAATCCTCGGGTACTTTGCCCTCTTTCCACACCTTCTCCAGCAGTGGTGTCATCAAGTCCGCTGTTGTCTCTGGGTCTATTTTCAAAGCCTCTGCTGGGATTCCATCTGGTCCCGGTGTTTTCCCAGCTTTAAGCATCTTGATTGCATTCAGGACTTCTGATTTCGTCGGGGGGTCAGTGTTCACTGGTAGTTCTGCTTCCGTTGTTGGTATTGCTGGACGTGTTGTAGGTGGCGGACGATTTAGAAGTCTTTTGAAGTGTTCAACCCAGTGCTTTCTCTGTTCCACCTCTTTGGTGATGGACTTTCGGTGTAGGAAAATATTCTTCAGTGCGGTCTGTGATGTTGGGCCATATGATGTTCATATCCAACTGTTAGTGGCTTTTATGATATTTTAATCTAACCACACTGAAAGGTCTTTCCGAGCACGAAATATTAAGTGCCAAGGACAGCAGGTTATATATAACTGGCTCAATAAGAACAGTTGCATCGATAGATACAAAAAAGGTGGGGGGCTAACATAGGGACTTTGTGTTTCATTGTTGCAATCACAGTCAGCAGGCATGTGAAAAACAATACAATTTTTTGTAGTTCTCCATTCGCGAATTTGTAACCTAATCTGCTTTTGATATGAGAATATGAGTTACTCATTTTACCTTGTTTGTTTAAGTATTCCTGTTGTTTCTTTTGATCTTTGAATACTGGAGTTTTTCATTTTGCTCTACTTTTTGGACAGCCCTCCTATAGATACAATGCCTCGTTTACAAGAATTGAAACAAATTTTTCCCAGGTAATTGTTTTTATTATTTCTGCGTTACACCCTTCGTATTGTTTAAGTGGGTTGTGGTAAATTTCTTGTCCTTCTATAAGTCTAAAGATCCTTAGAAAACTTAGGAACTAATCATTACCTTGGCAGAGTGTTAAAAGAATTTCATGATTGTGTTTGTATAGTATTCACTTGGTCTCCATTCTTCAAATTGGTTCTCTGAAATCTTTTTTTTTAACTGGCTCTGCATTATGCCCCACAAGCTTCCATTTCTCCTCACCATATGATGTCATATACACACATCACCCTTGGACACCCAACTCATCGCTTCCCTTTTGAATTTTTACTCGATGGCCTGTCTGGTGTGTTATCTCACTCGGACATCTCCTCACCTTATGATGAGACCATCTCCACCCCATTGGACAATAGTTTCTTTGCCAGTTCGTTGCCAGAGTCTCTTCTTGCATATCTTTTTTCGTCACTACAGTAAGGTGTAATATAATTACTGCCAGTCGTCCAATAATGTGTGCTGCAAAAACATTGTTGAGAGCTGATCAGTTTTCAAGCTGTTGAAGTGGAATATTAGATATAACATGGAGGTCATTTTACTCTGTTACTGTGTGGTCACAAAGACTAATGATTCAAATAATAAATAGCTATCTGCGCCTCATTTCAGTTTATTTTGCTAGTCAACTCCTACTGGTTCATGGTTTAACCTTGTTATTTTTTTATTATGAACACTAAAAAGAATAGCGTTTGTTTGGATTCGAAAACGTCGCCGGAATTTGATATGGGTCTATGTAACTGACACAAACAATAGTGCTGCGCTTACGGATCGGATCGATATGGGAAGGCAATAAATGATTCATGCTAAAACTGAATACCAATACTTATTTCTAATCTCTTCTGACGCTCACAGCCCACACAGATGAAAAAGAAAAAAAGAGACTGCTCCGAGTAGGTGAAAACAACGGACCTTTATTGGACGAAAACGCCATCATAATCAAATATAACTCACCTCGAAAAGTTAAGCCAATAAATAACTAATTCAATTGGTTGTCTAAGTTCAGGCTTCAAAGTTGTCCAATCACATCTGCCGTGACTCGATGGTTTGTTTCATTTGTTCAGACCGGGTTTATTCCGTTTTTTAGTTGGTTTTTTGATTAGGCGAAATCAGGCGTATGTGACATTTTTATGCCTCTTACACCTGTATTGAATGGACCCTCACGAAAAACTTGGAGGATCTCGACTTCGCCGATGATATATGTCTGATTTCCCACAAACTGGAAAATATGCAACTGAAAAGTAACAAGTTGGCAGAAAAACCATCCACAGAAGATAGGACTTCTTTTAGGAGGACAAAGATAAAACAGAGGTGATGAAGATTCCTGGCCAACAGCAACAACAACAGACAACAGTCAGCCAGCATAAATGGGAGGAACCTGAAAGAAACAACCTCCCTGACCTACCTACCTACCTACCTGGGAAGCATCGTTTCAACTAAGGCCGAACCGAACTCAGTAGGATATCAAAGCAGCGAGGATCGGGAAAGCAAGACAAGCTTTCATTACTCTCAAGTCTGTGTGGAGGTCAACAGCACTACTCAGGATCAAAAATAACATCTGGATTTGTAACTTCAACGTTAAGTCAGTGCTACTATACGGATCAGAGACTTTCACTGTGCGTCATGAAGAGCACCTCAAACAAACTGCATACCTTCATCAACAGCCAGCTCATCTTCGCTCAGTACTCAAGATCAGATGGCTGGCCGGAAAAGATCAGCAACAGGGATCTTTGGCAATGAGCGAACCAACCAGGAACCGATTGTGAAACAAATAGGCAGGAAGTAATGGAGATGGATTGACTGGTCATACTCTGAGGAAACCATCAAGTGACATCACTAGACAAGCCATCACCCGAGTGAAACCCGAAAAGGAAGCGGCGAGTCGGTCGTCAGTGCGATGGTGGGGTGACTTGGAGGAGGTGATGTGGAGAGGAGATGAAAGCATATGGGGAGACTTGGAGCCAAGGGAAAAATTGGCAGAGAACCGAACGCGATGGAGACGTGGGGCTGAAGTCCTATGTTCCTCTAGGAATTAAGGGGAGTAATAATAAATAATAATACACTCGTATTTTATTGCAGGTATTATTATTGCTAATGACTACGATCTGGTTGCGATCATTATTATTCTTTCTGTTATCAATGGTATGACATTTAGACATAGTAGCGAGGTTGACTCAGTGAAACACATGCATGTCGATAGAGAATACTGCACAGAAGTATGTTATTTCAAACTGTGTCAATTGAAAACTGAAGAAACGCATAAAAGAAACAGAAATCGATACTGGTATAATCATTGTAAATAGTATTATGATGAAAAGAAATAGCTAAATAGATGATATTAGTCGAAATTGTCAAGACTGAACTATGTCATCAAGAATCACCAGTCACCTATCATTTTTGTCCCAAACACCCTTTTCAGACAACCTGCATTAACTGATGCGACCCTAAACAACCGTCAGAGACTCAATACCGTTTCTATCAAGTCATGGTTTGCCTATCCATACATTTCTTGCATATTTATCATATATCCAGGTTGTTTTGGATCACACGATATATGTCTCCATATTCTCTGAATAGCTTTAAGTTGATGGCTACATTGTAAATTGGTTCTCGAACTAGTAAACATATACCTCCACCAACTTTGTAGGTAGTCTAATTTGATAGATGTCGAGTGTTGTTCATGTTCATGCTGGGATTTCGATATTGAATACTTTGATGATACATATTCCTAGCATCATTTTATATGAAAAAGGCTAGCTAACAACCTCCTTTACGTACCTACCTGGGGAGCATCGTTTCAACTACAGGATGACGGAACTGACGAGGATATCAAAGCGAGGATCAACGGGAAAGCAACACAAGCTTTCATTGCTCCCAAGTCTATGTGGAGGTCAGTGGTTTCATCGGTCAATGAAATCCACAACATTTAGTTTAAGCCAGCAAACCGGTGGTGTAGGGAGCTGTATACTGGCCTCCTAGTTGGGTCGTCGGGATTGGTGATAACCAGTGAAGGCTGGAGACTTTAAATTGGTGATATGGCTCAAAGTCATTCTCAATGTCTGGTGCAGATGCATACATTTCTTGTGACCCGGAGGTACTCTGGCGATGCTTGGTCGTAAAGGGAATGCCGAGAAAATACGTTGCACTGATTAAGGCACTCTACTCGAAATAATGCAGTCAGCCAGGTGAGGGCTTATGGCGAGTTCTCATCTGACGTAGCGACCACTAGTGGTGTCCGTCAGGGATGCCCATTATTCCCATTTCTATTCAATTTCATCAGAGATGCACTATTGGACTTAACCCTAGGTAACTTCAGAGACTCAGGGATTGACTTGTTACCAGGGTATAATCTCGTTGACTTAGAATATGCAGAGGATATAGTCCTTCTAGGCGAGGCCGCTGAAAAAATGCATGGTCTTCTAGACACCTTGAGCAGCAATCTACGAATGTTTGGCATGTGATTCGCTCCTCCTAAATTTTAGATGATGTTATATGGCTGACTGGACTACACCGACTCCTAGTTGATAAATAGGGAGTGAAGTGGTAGAGCACGTTGACCGCTTGAATTATTTGAGAAGTACCATCACCTAATCCCAACGGGTTGATCTCTGACAAAATCTCAGTACGGATACAAAGAGCTAGTTTCACATATGCCAGTTAACGCCGTCTGTGGCGTAGACGTGATAACCGGCTGGCTATCGGCCAAAGGGCTGGTGTACTGCTTAACAGTCCGCTCCGTCCTCCTTTACGGATGTCTGTGAGACCTGGCCATTGAGAGTGGAAGACATGAAAAGATTAGCTATATTCGATCATAGGTGCCTGCGCTCTATCTCCCGTGTGAAGTGGTATAATGAGATGAGCAATATTGAGGTGAGGCATCGGTCAAGTGCTAGGTAGGTGGGAGGGGATATCAATTGACGAGGTTGTGAAATTACATCGACTGAGATGGTTAGGACATGTGTTACGTATACACGCCTAGTCATCGCCTTCCTCGACAATGGGCAATGTTAGCTGACTGGCATAGGGTCAGGCTGGAAAAGAGCTAGTTTGTGGCGGTCAAACCAAAGCATGGAACCAGTCAATGAAATCCACAACAGTTAGTCTAAGCCAGGCACGTAGGAAGGTGTAGACTTCCTGACTGGTTGGGTTCCTCGGGACGATAAAAATTATTGACTGGAAACAGTTGGTGATATGACTCAAAATCGTTCTCAATGGCTGGCACAGATGCATCCACTCCTTGTGACTCATGATTTCCAATGAAACTATATTGTTCTTTGTTATTACTATTCATTTGTCTTACATGTTTGTTTACTATCTCTATTATGCATTTCTTCTTCTACTCTCTTCTGGTGCATTGTGTGCTACGTGGATGGAGTGTGGCGACTTGAGCTGCCCTCACATCGGTGCAATGTTCTATGTTGAGACCAGTCAGTCAGTTATCATATTATATTCATCTGACATGGAACATCTATCGGGTGTATTCAGATATTATCTCAAAGCTATTACTTTGCTGAAGTTATAATAAATCAAGTGAATGTTGTGAGAATACATTGGCCGCATCTAAGATTTCGCCCTTCTGGGACTAAAACACCTACATGATTATTTTTGGTAAACTTTATATTCATAAATTTTTTTTTAAATATGCTGTTTATTTAATTCAGTTTTTGTTTTTCTTTCTAAACCAACACATTCTTATAGGTCGATATGTGATGACATGATGTGGAGTTCAGCTACTGCAACTTTTCCACTATTCATAAAATTATTAGATTTTCCAGAATATCGTTACAATTTAATTTTGGGTTTGCTAGTTAGCATTGGTGGACTAACAGAATTAACGGTTAGTGTGTGTGTGTGTGTGGATTCTATTCTCTACCATTTTTATTTGTCACTGTTTTTCATCTAACTCATATGTTGTAAGAAGTTAATTTTGCACATGATGGATGATATTTCAGTCGAATATTATTCCCAGTCCACCAAAAAACTTTCGCGTTTTTCGATGATTACTTGGTTGTTAATGTTACTTGACGCAAAATCAATTGGCCTTATTTAGCATATACATATATACTCTCTTCTCGTAAGAGGCTCTCTGGTTTCGCAGTTGGGATGTGAGATTAGAAAATATCGAAGATTTTCACTGTGAAAACTTGAATCATATAGTTTGTTCTTCGGTTATGTACTTCATTAAACTATCCTAAAGTATACCATAGCTATATATAATACTCAGGTTAGCCAAGGCGATTCTCCAGTATGACAATAAAAGTAAGCGATGATGCTACAGCTAATCTGCATATAATTACTGCTACCTGTTCATATATTGATGAGACTATCCCTAATAGATATAAGTACGAAACTTGGGCACTGTGGTAGAGTATAACTCCATTATGGATAAGATTTTATTTTGATAAACTGTCACACAGTGTTGTTGTACAGTAATATTAACTGATGACCACGTTTCGAGCACAAATTATTGCCACTCATAATCATCATATCAAGTCACTACTCACACAAGAGGTTCGAGCACAATGTGCATTAACCCTGAAAAATCAAAAGAAGGCAAAATCAAACCTAATAAAATCGGAAAGGGAAGCTCTAATTAGTGTAAAACAGATTAAAAACATCGTGATCGCAAAAGCTGACAAAGGAAACTCCACTGTAGTTTTGGATAAATCTGACTATATCAAAAAAGTCACTGAACATATTCAGACGGGTCCATATGAGGAAATTAAGAAGCCTGTCGATACAATAATGAATAAGGTTAAGAAATCTACAACAGAATTAATACGTAGTATGAAGCCGTCATTGGGTGAGTCTAAATGGTTTAATTTAATGCCTAAAACTAATAATGCTAGTAGAATGTATGGTACTATTAAAATACATAAGCCAGGTGACCCCATAAGACCAATAGTAGATTTCAGAAACACGCCTACTTATGAGTTACCAAAACACTTCGCCCTTAATATTATGCCCCATTAGAAATCGTTCAAACTCTAGACTAACTAATTCATATGAGATTAAAAATAAACTAAAGAACATTCACCTAGAGAATGATGAAACAATGGTTAGTTTTGATATAACTAGTCTTTGTACTAAGCACATCACAACATTCCAACAAGTTAATTATTAAGACTATGAAAACACTCGTCTTACTTCCCATCTGATTGTATTTGATCGATGACACTCGTATTATTATTATTTCTGAATGTACATTATCTTATATTGATTTTTATTCCGATATCTAATCGACTCCACACATGTATATAAATGAAGGAAAAAAGTTGTGTGAGTAACTTGTTATGATTATGAGTGACTATAATTTGTGGTCGAAACGTGGTCGCATCAGTAAATATTACTGTACAACACTGTGTGATTTATCAAAATAAAATCTTATCCATAATGAAGTTATCCAGAATAGCTTTGGTGATTGATTGACTGTAGGTGAAATAGAAATACAGGCTTTCGTGGTTCGGAGGTAGATTGTTCACCGATTGTTCCACTTGGAACGTAAAGGAATGTTATTGAAATCCTACGGAAAGACCTAGATTTTCATTTCACATTCACTTCTTACGGCGAAGTTAAACTTTAAGCACCACTAACTACCAATCAGAGGATGACGTCAAATGGTCCAATGAGGTTCATGCACGTGAATTCCGTTTGATTCGTATCAAATGCGTGCTGTAACGAAGTTACGCTTGCAGTTCGATGAGGATAAGGTTTTGCACTATTGCCTGAATTTTTTGGGTTCGTGGAGAGAATATCAGACAGAATGTCTACTACATTAATGCCTATTGTCACTCGACTTGTGAAACAGGGATCTATAGTACATATGTGGTGAGAGCTGGATGTTAGCCAAAATTGGTGGACAGTAATATACGTCAACGTTTATGTCCCCAATATTGGTCGTGAGAAAAATGAGAACAAAGGCTTTGCGTAGGCGGATACAGTTAACATATAGATGATCTGACATTCAAGAAACAGTCACAAAGAGATGCAAGGTTAACTTACTGTAAGAAAGAACCATTCAGAGGACTGTGTTTTTGTGCTAACAATAATCTATAATATGTACATGAAAATCTATAAATATGTGTTGATTTCCATGATAAACGATCTGTTGCGTGGGTCTTGTCTATTTTGTTACACATAGTGATGAATGGAAAGGTTATATCTCGCTGTCATCCTTTGGATATATTCATCACAGAGTGAACCATTCTTGTGGATCCCATTACAGGTACACACACGAATTCCGTAGAAGGATTTTTAGGAAGATTCAAAAATAGGATTAGGGCTATAAATGGATCTCAAATGGATGTCATTTATTATCATTTGGATGAATATATGTACCGGATGTGGTGTAACTTTTCTATTGACACTCCTATGCTGAACTGAGATATTTTTCTCTCATATGTTAAAGAAAGATATCCTATGTAACAGTTTTATGCTGTTTTTTTGGTAAATATACGTTTTCCTTAATTAAAATCCTCTCTTTCATGTGATTGGTTTGTTGAAGGTCGTTCGCTGATTGGTGGTTAATGGTGCTTAAGGTTTAACTTTGTTCTTATTACTCAATGCATCTACTTATTTCATTAAAATGAAGTCTATATGTGCATAAGTAGTAAAAATGAGATAGAATTTTATGCTCACTTTTTCACTGATGTATATATATATATATATATATATATATATATATATAAGAACAGAAGGCAAGGGCCAGGCAACAGATCATTTACTGAGAAAATCAAGGGATATTTACATATTTTTTGTACATTGTTATTCGTTATTATTAGCAGAGAAACAGCGTCTCCGGATTGGTTATTTTCTTACTGAAGGCTATTCTGTCATCTCTTTGTGTCCGTCTCCTTGAAGGTCAGGCCCTATATCCGCGAATTGTGTCGGCCCACACAGTCTACTGTTATTGGTTGTTGAGTTAGTCTTTGTTTTTGTTTTTTTCTCGTGACCCCTATTTGGGACGTAAACATTGACGTAAATTTAATTGGAGGATAGTGACTATCAATTAAATAATTGACGTAAATTGCTGTCTACCAATTTTGGCTAGGAGGCAGCTCTCACCATATATATATATATATATATATATATATATATATATATCTCACTTATCTGTAATTTTTTTCTTCTTTAAACCAATTAGCTTCGACGGAGTACTGAAGCTTTAAGTACATACTTACTTGATCATGAAACGAACCAACCGTTTATCACTGAAATTTTAGAAATTGTACAACGTATTTTGGAATCTCATTCTGGAGAGGAAAGGTAATAAATACCTGTAGTAATGTTATCATGGCAATGAGAATATTTTTTTTGAAAAAAGTAGCATATTGAATTTTGTCACTGAAGCATATCGTTGTTCTCTCTCTATAAAGAAGCTTAAATTTAAGGTTCAGAAGTCTTGAAGATAATAAAAGACAGATTCAACGAAGAAAATTTTCTTTATTGACGAAATCGTCTTCAGAGGCTGTACTGTACAGTCGTATTTATACTTAAAAAAAAATATATAGGGGTCTATTATTGAGTAATAGGGGGTGACACAAAAGCCGAAACCTGATGCCCTTCGTACCATTTGGCTTCACTTTGTAGATGGTGTTGAAAGACGACTCTGGTGGAGCTACGTGACTTGAGTTCACCAAGTGCTCGAGAATTGAGCTAGTAATTGTCTTACATTGTCCCTTTGCTGACCATGCTGGATAATGTTCAGAGACGCGTTTGGAAAGTTTACGGTCGCTTTGTGTGGCCAATATAACTAGCTCCATACGAGCAGGTAAATTTATAAACACACATTGAGGTGGCTTGTTCAAAGCGGCAGTTTATCCTTCACACATCCATTGATCATTTGTCGGCTGTAGAAATTGATATATAGTTCAGCCATGAAGAAGTGTTTCCTCAGTGATCTGCATAAGCGATTCTTAAGGATTTCAGCTGCGGTGTCAACTTTAAATTCAACACAGATATATAGCAGTTTCTTCAGCACCGTCAGGATTCTTTCAGGCTTTTCCTTTAACTTCATGTTTTTCTCGATAAATCTTGGAGGATATCTATTGGGTGATTCAGAAGTCTATATTATAACTGTTATAATTCACTTTGTCAAGTCAGTTCATCTATATCTAGTTCAAAGATTTAGCTTGTCACCAAAAGCATTTCTACTAGGTGACTTCAAACTTTTATCAACACCTGCCTTCACACTGGCCGCATACTGGAGATCAGATGTCCAGAAAGGATTATCAAGGAAGAACTCTCTCTAACGAACCAACCGCTCAACAAATATTCCGAAGAAAACGGGAGTTGGATCGTACATACTCTGTGGGGAGACCTGTTTAAGTGACACACACGCAAGGTGTAGGCCCTCGAGTGAGACTCAAATCTAAAACAACAAGCTAGGCGTCTGTCTGAGAGTGACATAGAGGAGATTACATGAGGAAGAGATAAAAGCTTACGGTCAGTAGGGTAGTCAGCTAAAAAAGACTGTTGAAAAGGGAACGAAATTTAGACGTGCTTTTGAAGCGCCTTCTCTTACCCGCAACATAAGGGAATAATATTAATAATAATAATAACTCACTTTAGTATAACTGATGATATAAGGCGAAATGAAAACTTGGTTTCCCCTTGAGGATTAGAATCAGATAAAAATAAAAGCCTTCAGATTACCTGTTTAGAACTCTACCTATCTGATGACTGGTTAGTGTTGTAATGTATTGCGCGGACAGGTGTACAGACACATATTTCATTTACAACCAGCAGTGGGGTGAGATAGGGTTGACAAATCTCTCCATTTCTCTTTAACTTTGCCATCGATGACGTTCTGGAGTCAGCTCTGAAGGATGTGCGTGAAGGTGGTGTAGATCTGCAACTTGGAGATAGACTTTTCGACCTCGAGTATGCAGACGATATAGTCTTACTGTGCGATAGCATGCAGGCTGCCCAAATCGCACTTAGTCAGTTGGCGATCAGTGTCTGTAAGTATGGTATGTGCTTTGCACCGTCTAAGTGCAAAGTACTGTTACAAGATTGGCAGGAGCCTTTACCTACACCCTCTCTTGCGGGTGAACCGCTTGAATTTGTTAATAAGTTTTTGTGTATATGGGTAGTTGTGTGAGTGCTGGCGGAGGGCTGACAGATGAGATTTCCAACCATATCATGAAAGCTAGGGTGGCATATATCAACTTGATCCACCTCTGGCGCCGTCGCGACGTTAGCCTGGCTGTCGAAGGCCGGGTATACAATGCTTTGGTGCCGGCTGTCTTGCTCTACGCCAGGCCTGTGAAACCTGGCCTCTCCGAGTAGGCTGAGGATGTTCGGCGACTCTGCGTGTTCGATCATCTCTGTCTCCGCAGGATTGCTTGCGTTCGATGGAATCATCGCGTGAGTAATTCTGAGGTTCGGTGGCGTGTGTTTAAACACAGTGGAGATCATAATTCATTGAGTTTAAAACAATTAGTTCCAGAAACAAATGGAATCATCAGAACCTATTAACGGTGAGAACAAGAGACCTAGCTCTTCTATTGCGAAACATATTATAGAGACAGGTCGTAAAATTGATGTTAACAGATCTTTTAAACCTATCTGTAAAACGTGTATGGGGCGTATCCTAAAGTTTGTAGAAGCCTAGAAGTTAGAAAGTTCAAAAACAATTTGTCATCACATTAAACCTTCCTTGGTAAATTTTGTTTTGATACCATAGCAGATGTACTATTACCTCTGCTATTTGGTTTAGTGGTCTTCATTGTTATTTTGACCTTGAATATGTCCTTTTAACTTGACCTAAGTCTATTTTTCTCACCTCTTACCTCTTTATTAATTTCATATATATTCCTATGACAAGTCCATGTGTGATCAGATTGTTCGAAATGTGTTGCGCAAATACATTACACGATTCAGACAAATTACATCTTATTGCTTTATCTAAATTCATTGAGTGTCGTCATCTGGAAACACCGGCTCTGTTGGCTTGGACATGTGGTGCGAATGTCATCTCAGAGGCTTTCGTACAGGTCTCTGTTCACTAGCCAGTCCTGGGACGGGATGGAAAAGGCGTGGTCAGGGGTGGTCTGTCCGTGACGTGGCGTCGTGGGATGAAGGATGATTGTAGTAGATTAACATCGGTTGGTGCGTCACAACTCCCTGGTTGGGGTCTGAGAGATTGCTCGAAACGTTATCAGATATGTCCAAGAATCGTAATCCATGGCGAACTTGTTGCAATTCCCTTCTCTATGATAGTTGACGAATACTGTTTGAAATTGTCAAACATGACTGTTTTCCTCCCAGATGACGTTCTCTATCCGTTCTTCACTTATATTTTTTCTTTGAATCTATGTTGTTTTATTATTATTATGTGTGTAGCGCATCTTTCTTGGTGCCATGTCGTACCAAGTTTTTTTCTGCGTTTAAATAAATAAATAATAAATGCTAGATAGTGAGAATCTCTCAGTTGTATAACCGAAAGAAGATTTTATCAGCAGTCGAGTCTCGTGGTTCAACCGGTTGGAAGTAGTAATAAGCTGTTTTCAATGTTCATGAAGTCATTACTTTAGTCATGGGCCTGTGAAACCAAAGTTCTTTCATCGTATAGTGTGTAGCGCATAGTATGTGTCAATTGAAAACTTTTAATGTTTTGTAAATACAGCTTAGCTGTATTTTAATGACACTTGAAAAACCATGTTTATATTCAATGTCTATATTTTATTTGTGATATTTTATAGGATTATTTTACCTCTATTGAAATCTCTGGACTTTTTATTGAATGATCCAATCATTAGTTCGACAACTGATAAAGAAAAGTAAGTCTTCCCTCCTTGTCTCTTTTATATCATTCTGTTTAATGAATTTCCGTAGTAATTTATGTGTGCTCTCTTTTTACTGTTTGATAAGAATAAACATTTCGACTTGATTTATTCCTTATTTGTTGTATTTATTAGATGACAAGAGTTGCACTACACGATATCTCATAGTTTATATGCGACAGTTGGGATACTGGCGCGACATCCAGAACAATGCAGCTGATTATCTTAAGGTGAACACCCTTGAGCATTATTCGACTTGAAGCCTAATCCATAAGGCAGTGGAACAGCATCAGAAGCTGTGGGTTCCGATGGTTTCCGGTGACCAATACAGTTAACACGCCATTCGATTAGTTTGGATTCTGGAGCCTGTGCACACTATAGGTTTGAAATCAAGGTTTCCTAGATCCTATTACTACTTCAGTGAAGACGTCCATTATTCAGTGAAATGGATTTAGAAGCAATCATTTGCCAAAAGTGTGTTTATGACATCGTTTTTGATGTATAAAGAAGAATGATAGAGAAGATAGATCTTTATGTTCAGACAGGGGGTTTATTTGCGAAGTATTCGTCGTCTTTATAGACACATGATCTACAAGGAAAGCTCACTTCATATTGAAGTGTGCACTGAAGACAGTCGTGTGTTGATAATCATAGAGGGATAAGGTTGACTAACATAGTATGTAAAGTTCTAGGTTCAATAATAATGCTTAGACTGGATGGTACTTGGAGAGACAAACAAATGCAATTCAATCAGCTTTTAGGTCTGCAAGAATGTGTATTGATCATATCTTTACCTTTCAACAGATTCTGGAACGTAGGCATACTTGCCGGTATCCAACACCTGCAGGTGGAATTTGACTTCGTTGATGGTGAGATGATCTTGCAATGTCTGGTCGTGAAGCGAGTACGTACTCCACTTGATCTCTAATCCAGCTGTGTAAGAGCTAATGGAGAGTTGTCATCTGAATTAATGATAACCAGTGGCTTTTATCAGAGTTGCTCATCACCGCTCCTGTTATTTAGTTTCATCATAGATGTACTAAGGATGCTTACCTAATTTAATTAACTTAAGAGACTTAGGGACTGACTTGTTACCGGGGTATAGTCTTGTAGATTTAGAGTATGAAGACGTTTGTTGTCCTTCTAGGTGGAAAAACGCTGACAAACTGCAAAGTCTTCTGAACAGCTTGACTAGGAATCCTAGTATTTTCGACAAATTATTCATCACTGTCAAATGTTATTACATGATGCTGTGGGGCTAGTCGGAACGACTGCTAGCTTAAAGAGATAGGGAGTGAAGTTGTTGAAGGTGTTAAGATATATTATAGGAGGATTTTTCCGGACAGTAAATACAAACCACACTTATCACCATGCTACATACAACGTACACCAATACACTTAGATCACTAGTGATGGATTGAAATTAGCATTTGTATACCACTCAAATCAGACAGCAGCAGCTCTTGCTAGCCAGGTCAAAGTAATCTAAACACCAGGCGATTGTTTTGCTCGTTTCAGACAGAGCTCATCAGTACTTGGTGTACTTGGTTTGATTCGGCTCAGAGAGAGAGAGAGGGGAGTCAAATCAGTTCAAACTAACCGAAATGTGCAGATTATTATTATTTCCTTTAATTCCTAGAGAAACATAGAGCTTCAGCCCCACGTCTCCATTACGTTCGGTTCTCTGGTAGAGTTCTCACCTGGCTCCAAGTCTCCCCACATGCTTTCATCTCCTCTTCACATGACCTCCTCCAAGTCACCCCACCCTCCCACTGACGTCCAACTCGCCGCTTCCCTTTCGGGTTCCACTCGAGCAATGGCTTGTCTAGTAATGTTACTTGATGATTTGTTTCCTCAGAGTATGGCCAGCCAATCCACCTCCATTTCTTCCTGCCTATTTGTTGCACAATCGGTTCCTGTTGGGTTGGTTGGTTCGCTGATTGCCAGAGATCCCTCACTATTTTTGATCTATTCTGGCCGGCCATCTGATCTTGAGTAGCATTGAGCGAAGACAGTTAGCTGTTGATGAAGGTGTGTAGTTTGTTCGAGATGCTCTTTATGACGCGCTAGCCAAGTCTCTGATCCGTATAGTGAGTATCACTGACTGACTTCACATTGGAGTTGAAAATCCGGATGTTATTTTTTATGCTGAGTTGTGCTGTTGACCTCCACACAGACTTGAGAGTAATGAAGGCTTGTCTTGCTTTCCTGTTGATCCTTGCTTTCATATCCTCGTCAGTTCCGACTGTAGTTGAAACGATGCTTCCCAGGTAGGTAGGTAAAGCAGGTTGTTTCTGTTGGTGTTGGCCAGGAATCTTCATCACCTCTGTTTTCTCTATGTTCACCTGAAGGAAGTCCTATCTTCTGTGGATGCTTCTTCTGCCAACTTGTTGCTTTCACTTGCATATCTTCCAGTTTGTGGGAAATCAGACATACATCATCGGCGAAGTCCAGATCCTCCAAGTTTTATGTGTGAGTCCATTTTATGCCTGTTTCCTCATTGCCTAACCCGCTGTCTGTCGCATTATCCAATCTACTGCAATCAGGAAGATCATTGGCGATAGTAGACAGCCTTGCCTTGCAGATTTAAAACTATGAATTTACTTGATATATAAACGTTGGGAACAACGTTGCACTTTATTACATTGCACAAATTCTGTTTACAAAAGAAAGTAGTCTTACAGCGTTGTATCTTTTGTTATTACGCCTTTGTTTGTGTACTCCTTTTTTTAGCCCAGTTCTTTTGAAATTAACTAATGGCACATGGAATGAGATTAGAAAAACAAAAAATATACCACGTATCAAAAGTGGAATTGATGTGTAAGTTGAAGTTTTGTTGTTTAATAGTAATTTGGAGCTTTTATTGTTATGATTACATTATTGTTCCTTTGGGTTCCGAGTAGAATATAGGGCTTCAAGAGCACATATCTACTTTTATCCCGTGCTGTGCAGTTCTCTTTATCTGGTGCCACGACTCCCCATAGGCTGTGATCACCTCCTCATAAGATCCCCACCATGTCACCCTTTAGACACATTCCCAACTCGTTTCCCATTCAGGTTCCACTTGAGCGCTATGCGCTGGTGTACGATGTAATTCAACAGTCTCCTCAGTGTGTGTGTGTGTGTCTTTGGCGCATATTGTTGAGCATTCAGCCTCGTTTGATTTGTTGCCAAGACTTCTCGTTGCTAATTCTTTCTGGCCACCTGATCTTCAGTATAAAGACAGCTGTTCGAAATACCTTTGGTTACGCGCGAGTCGAATTTCTGACATAACATTGGCGGTGAAAATCTGAATCTTCTTCTTTATGCTAGCTGAGTGCAGTCGATTTTCAAACTGACTACTTTGTGGTGAGAGTTGGCTGCTAGTCGAAATTGTAAACACCAATTTACATGAATGTTGCGTCCGGAATCGGGGTCATGAGAAAAAAACAACAGAATAACAAAGCTTAACCTAGAGGAACTCACCAACCAATCATAGCGGAATTGACGTGTACAAGTAGGATTTGTAGATATATATATAAAATATAATAATACGGCTTAACTTTCTGAGAAATTGTCACAAGTAGTACAGAATAGCCTTGAGCTAGAAAACAGGAAATCAGAAGACATCGCTTCTTCACTGACAATAATGTACATAAGAATCTATAAATATCTCTTGATTTTCTCAATAAATAATCTGCTACATGGTCCTTGTCTTCTGTCGTTACAACTTTAGTGTGGGAAATATTTATTTCCTGATATGAATTTAAAACAAGCGACAAAGATTAACAAAGTAGGATTTAATGAACTCGTCGAATTTCGGTAGAACTCTTTAGCTGAATATTCTGCATACAGAGAGAGAGATACGTATATATTTACTGTTAGGAATGCATTGGGAGATATAGGACTGATAAGCAAATAAACTACATTGAATTAACCATGCAAAATGACACGTGAATGTTTTCCAGGTCATGTTCAAAGAGATAAGGGGATACAGAGTATGAGAGATTAAAATTCCATTACACTTCAATTGCATAACTTAGATAAACAATTAGTCATTAGAGAATATAATAAGAATTTCAAACAGTAATATCAGTAGTAATGGTTATAATAACAATGATAATAATATAGTGTTGAAGTGAGTTAAGATAGTGCTACTGACAAAGGATAGTTTTAAATGAATCAAGAATAACAATAATAAGAGGTAGAATAATAGGTAAAACGTATTACCATGGTAGTTTGAGAGTCACGACCATCTCCTTTTGTACACAGAGACCTGGTTTATAAACTCGAATTGTACAGGCCTCTGCAATTTCAAGCATCTTCTTGTTTCTTTGTCTGCTGAAAATAGTGAATGACTTGACCGCATCGATATCATGACGGTAATCCACAGGATGTTTTGTTATTGAGGACTTCGGCACTTGACACTCAGCTGTTTTCAACCATTTTGGCAAATGCTCCATCATGCGATTAGACAATCGCCTTTCTGTACGACCTATGCGTATTTGCTTCCACAAACACACTTAAACTGATATAGGTGGTTTGAAGTGTCGAGGACTGACGACCAGTCTTTCCCAGATTGTTGTAGCACTCGCTTGGTGGTGTTAAGGTACACTTGTTTTGCAGCATAATAAGTTTTCTTGATGGCTTTGTCGAGTCTTCTCTTCACCACCTCTTGTACATCATCTTTTTTAAATGGCAAATTGATATAGACGGGTTTCTTCGAAACTGTTTGAATAGTTTTGCAGGGGCTCGTTTCTTTGGAGTATTTATTGATGAATTTCTCAGGATATCTATTCATGATGAAATATTCCACACCTGACATGTGGGATTGTCACATAGTTGTTGAATAAGTTGATAAAGACTTGGGGCATGCCATAGTGGTGAAGTAGTTTGCAAATTACTTCTCGGTCAACGCTTCCTGGTGAAGGCCTTTCCAAATCGATGGAATTGAGGTAAGGATTTGACTACCATTCTATGCTCTGTTCGATGATAATGCGTAGAGTTGCAATTTGATGTGACTCACAATTATGATTGGCCTTTCTAGAATCCAGCTTGTTCTGATCTGAATACATCATCCAGTGGATCTTTTATTCTCTCCAGGATGATGCGACTTAGTATTTCATTTGGCATGAACGAAAGCATGATTCAGCGTTAGGTTTCGCAGAGGCCTAAGTCGACCTTCTTATGTAGTTCAACTGTGAAATTACATCGACTGAGATGGTTAGGACATGTTTTACCAGTGAATGCCTAGTCATCGCCTTCCTCGACAACGGGCAATGTTAGCTGACATAGGGTCAGACTGGAAAAGAACTCGCGGCAGTCAAACCAAAACATGGTTTCACCAGTCAATGAAATCCACAACATTTGGTTTAAGCCAGGCGCGTAGGAAGGTGTAGACTTCCTGGTTGGGGTCCTCGGGATGGTAAAAACCAATAGTTGGAAACAATTCGTTATATGCATATGAACTGTGATCATGATTTGACCGGATAGTTGCAAAATAATTGAGCGCCGAGTGAGAAGTAGATATTTATAAAATTATATTTTTAAAATCTCAGCGAAATTGAAATGATTCATTCCAACGTTTCGTTCGGTAAGCTGGTTTGAACTTCTTCGGAGAAATTAATCGAAATAAACAACAGAGGTTTATATATAAAAGGAACATTTCTTGTTTTTGAAACTTTGTCCAATCGTGAGTCATGAAACAGGCATCAACATGTATAATAAACAAAATTGTATGAACTGTGATCAAAATTTGACCTCAGACTTTCAAAATTAATAAACAAAATTGTACGTTGATATATAGAAGGATATCTTTTGTTTTTTAAATTGTTTGTCCTGTCATATGAATCCTGAAATAGGTATCAAAGGTGAAATTTTGATCACAGTTCATACAATTTTGTTTATCATACATGTTGATGCCTGTTTCGTGGCTCATGATTGGACAAAGTTGCAAAAACAAGGGATGTTCCTTTTATATATACACCTCTGTTATTTTTTATTTTTGATTACAGCTTGATTCCACACTGTATTTTTGGTACAAGTATGGAATTTTCAGCATGGATATCGGTAGCCCAAATTTCGCATCCCGACCATAGATATCAGATGTGCGTCGGCAGGGAATCGAACCTCGGACTATGTTCATGGTCGCACATTAATGTCCCTGAAGAAGTTCGGACCAGATTGCCGAACAAAACGTTGAAATTAATCATTTCAATTTCGCTGAGATTTTACAAATATAATTTTATAAATTGGTAATATGGCTCAAAATCGTTCTCAGTGGCTGGCTGGTGCAGATGCATCCACTCCTTGTGACTTATGATTTCCAATGAAACTATATTGTTCTTTGTTATTACTATTCCTTTGTCTCACACCTCTGTTTACTGTCTCTATTATGTATTATTCTACTTTATTCTCTTGATTTGTGTGCTACATGGAGGGAGTGTGGCGACTTGAACTGGTGCACATCGGTGCTATGTTCTATGTCGAAAACAGGCAAACAGACAGAAGTAGTTCAAGAAGGTAGCTAGCCTTTCTTTCCTTGCAAACCATTCGCAATAATAGCGTGAGCATACCCACTGCGATTTCTGGATCGGTTTTCACTGCTTCCGGAGGGATTCCGCTCGGTCTTGCCATCTTTCCGGCCTCCAGTAGCTTGATTGCATTCAAGTCTCTTACTTTTTTTTAAAGGACTGGTGTCCATCTTGCTATTTTTTTGAACTGATAATTCAATATTTGATGCTTTATTACTGCGACAACGCCTATTTAGACATTCAAAAGACGAAAACAGAATATTTCCTGCGATAACTTCTTCATCTAGTTCTTAGACATGTTCATCCTTGAGTTCCTGGACATCATTCTGTGTGCTTAAGCCAAAGACAAACAAGATATATTCACAACTGTAGATACTGAACACAAAGTCAATGTAGGCAAGGCATTCGGCAAGTTATCCACCGTATTCCGACTAGTCGTAATTTTGCCTTACGAGTTTGTTTTCTAGATGTCACTAAATTTGTAGGAAAAAGCGCAAAAAAAATTCATTCAGATAATTTCTTTGCCTTGGCTATCATACTGATTGAGATGGTTAGGACATGTGCTGTGCATGCACGCCTGGCCATCAATCGCCTTCCTCAACCAACGGGAAATGTTGACTGACTGAACTAGGATGGATGGATCAGGTTAGAAAAGAGTTAGCCTAGTGGTGGTGGTCAAACCAAAACCAACATGGCTTCATCATTCAATGAAGTCATCCACAACAGTTAGTTTAAGCCAGCCGGCCGATCATAGATGTGCAACAGTTCAAGTCGCCACACTCCATGTAGCAGACAAAGCAAGAGAAAAAGGTAGAACATAGATTCGAGAGAGAGAGATAATAAACAGAAGTGTGTGTGTGTGTGTGAGGGAAAAAGAATTGCGATATGAAAAAATAATAGAGTTTTATTGGATACTATAATTCTCCGAGAGTGGATGCATCTGCACCAGACATTGAGGACGACTTTGAGCCATATCACCAATTGTCTCCAGCCTTCATTGGTTTTTACCGTCTCAACGATCCCAACCAGTCAGGAAGTCTACACCCTTCTACATCACTGGCTGTCTTAAACTAACTGTTGTGGATGACTTCATCAACTGATGAGGCCATGTTGGTTTTGGTTTGACCACTACCACTAGCTAACTCTTTTCCAACCTGATCCATCCATCCATCCTATTTCAGTCAACCAACATTTCCCCTTGGTCGAGGAAGGCGATCAATGACTAGGCGTGCATGAGTAATACATGTCCTAACCACCTCGTTCAATCGATGAAACTTCACAGCCTCGTTGATTGATTTCTCCTTCCACCTACTTAGCACTCGACTGAGTCCTAGCCTCAGTATTAATCACCCTATTATACCACTTCACATGGGAGATGGGAGGCAGGTACCTGTGATCAAAGACAGCTAATCAGTCTTTTCATGTTCTCCACCTTTAACGGTCATGTCTCATCGACAGCCATGAATGAGGACGGAGAGAAGTGTTGAGCAGTACACACGTTTTTGGTCTACAGCCAGTCGGATATCACGTCTACTAATCCAGAGATGGCGTAAGTTGGCAAATGCGAAACGAGTCTTTTGTATCCGTGCAGAGATTTCATCAGCGATCAACCCGCTGGCGTTGGATGATGCAACTTCTCAAGTAAGTGAAGTGGTCAACACTCTCAGACAGTACTTTACTCCCTATTTTTAAACTAGGAGTCAATGTAGTCCAGTCCTGTAGCATCACTTTACATTGGACAAATGGAATGAATCACATGCTATTCATTCTAAGCTTGCTTTCGCATCAAGGTGTTCAGAAGACTCTATAAACAGAAACGTGACTAAATAACATTTACTACATGAAGAATAATGAGGATTCCGTGCATCCGACAGAACACAAATTGTGACTGAATATGCACCTTGTCGAGAACAAGTTTAAGCTTTTTTCTTTAACCATCAGTTTTTGACCTCTACACGTTCCCTGTGACTTATGATCTTCAATGAAACTGTTTTGTATTTCTTTATTACTCCTTTGTCTCACACCTCTGCTCACTGTTTCTATTATGCTTTTCTTGTACTTTCTTCTCTTGCTTCGCGTGCTACACGGAATGTGGCGACTTGAACTTCCGCACATTTGTGCAAAGTTCTATGTTGAAAACAGACAGACAGACACGTTCCCTGACAGCCAGTCTTCAGTTCTCTATGTGACTGGAACTGACAGCCAAAGACTTCATGGACTAGTGTCATGTTTTAGTATGACCACGTCTAATTCTTCTTCTTCTTCAATGTAATTCTTCAGTAAAATAACGCATTCAGTGAATGTTTGTGTGTGATACTACTGGAAAATAGGCTTCATTTTGGGTGTTACCTTCTGTCTCTCTAAAGTATTGAAAAATATCATACCTAATTAGTGCTAAACAAGATAGTGAAAATTGGAATTCTTCGCTATGTAAAAAAGTAAAAATTTTGTTTTTAGTAAACATAATATGATTTCATGCTAAGACTACATGTTTCTTACATGTATGAAATCCTTAATTGTTCCCCCTTTTCTTAAATACACATAGACTTGCTGGGATGTTACAATTTGATGGAGTTGTTCGAAAACGTGCTCTAACTCTGATGATGATTACTTTGGGATATCGTTATCCAATTGTAAGTTTAATTTAACTAGTAATTTGTGTTCTTTGCCTGTTCCTGTTCGTGTTCCTCACATTCCATTTTGTATGATTATGAGTTGGCTTTGCCTTGTCTCGTGTCTAACCTCTTGTCTTTTCCCAGTCTTACTGCCGCCGACTAGGCAAGGTCTCGGATTGTGTCTGTTGGGAGTTGAACTCAGATCACGTGTGCACATGGCTAACAAACATTCTACCATGTTCAATTTCATTCTCTCTCTTATTTATTATTTCCTTAGAATTTACAATTTGTTCACGTATACTCCTAGTCTATTTTTTTCCTTCACGTTCCCCAGTGGAAGATAGGACTTCAAGCTAGTGGCTTGAAGTTTCCGTAGAAGTGTTTATTTTACAGGATGGGGTTGCTAGCCTCATGCCTAACCTTTCCACTTTACCAGCATTATTTCTGGCTTAGCGAGGTAAAGGAGTGTGACGGTGGCCGAGGATCAAACCTCGGACCATGTTCATGGTCGGCGAGCAGCCTAACCGCTATACTCCTAGTCTATGAGTGATAGAAATCGAATGACTGAGTGAGTGACTGTCAAAATGGCATAAAAGCTTTTAAACACTATGTATATATGCATACATGCATACGTACACATTAATTAAAGTTTTCAATTTCACACATTTATTCCCCTTAATGAATTTGAACAAAGCAAGAACTACAGTTTTAGCAGAATAAAGTGGTACCATCGCTGTGTTATTTCGTTGCCTTCTCGTCAGCTGCTTACAGGCCAAAGACATTCATTATTAAATATATCTACAAAGCAATTTTAACATACTTGCACAGAGTTCATTTTAAGTAAAAATCAATCGATCAGTATATGCATACAGTAATAATACTATATACATATATATGTAATATTAAACACTATTTCGAACAATAATAATCATACACAACGGAAACTGTTCAGCATTTCGCATTCAACTGATAGAGAGATGAAAATATTCAGTTACCAGTCAGGGTAAATAAAGACTGATAACCCCTTCTTTCTGGATGCATAAATTAGGTTTCAGGCGCTTTATGGAAATGGCTTCAGCGAAATTGTGGAGAATTGAGCTCTTTTGCCTATTGATAACTTTGAACGACTTTTCGACGTCCACCTTATAACCCGTTTTGAGGAGATGCTTGGCGATGGCACTGTTTAAAGCATTTGTTCCCTTTAGACATAAGCTTTTGGTACATATATTCAGAAAATCGTAGATATGCCCTTCTTTCTATCCTTCCAATGTGTTGTTGCCTTATTTTCCATGTTTAATCTTTTTCAGATACGTAAAGCAACAGCGACTGAATTATACGAATGCCTTTTGGTATATGAATTGTGTCAACCTGAATTGTCCGATCAGTTATCATCTCTACTGACTGAAACGATATGGTTAGTTTAAAAAGGAAATTTTTTTTGTTTTTGAATATATATCCAATCAATCCATGAAGCTTTTGAATGTTGACTTAAGCTCAACCACGTAAGAAGGCGTGACCCGTCTGGTTGGGGTTGTCGGGATGTCCTAAGAACCATTGGCTTCAAGCAGTTGGTGATGTGACTCAAAATCTTTTCAGTGGTGTAGATGTATTCACGCTTTATCGTAATATCCTACATGTAATGAATCGTCATATTTCCTTGTATTACTATTTTTTTTCTCTCCATTACATTTCCGTTCATTATATTTCTTCTGAGATTTGGTTCACTACCTTTATGTGCTAAGTGTTGCTTAGCGACTTGAACTACTGCACTCCCATGCAAAGTTCTATGTTGAAAGTCGGTCAGTAAGAATATATATATATATATATATAATTTATTGTTCTCTTGGGTTCCTAGTGGAACATAGGGCTTCAACTGCACGTCTCCACTTGATTCTGTCTTCTGCTGTATTCTGCACCTGCATCCATGTTAGTCCATACTGTCTCAACTCTTCTTCACACGATCTCCTCCATGTCACATTTTGCACTAACGTCCCACTCGCCGCTTGCTTCCCTTTCGGGTTCCGCTTAAGCAATGGCCTGACGCGCGCGCGATGTCACCAACCGGCTTTTTCAGCCAGTGTCCAATCCATCTCCATTTTCTCCTGCATATTTGTTGGTTGGCGATTGCTTCTTCTTTTGTTTTCTTTGTTGTTTGGCGAAAACCGACAAACTGGTCGAAGAAACAGCAAAGACAGGACTACAGGCGAACATTGACGAGACGAAGGTTATGAAAATAACCAACCACCAACACAACAACAACAACAGCAACATCCAGCACCATCACCATCAACGGGAGGGATTTGAAAGAGGTTACTTCATTCATTCATTTATCTAGGGAGCATTGTCTCAACCATAGGGGGAACCAATGAGGATGTCAAATCGAGAATCGGGAAGGTGAGAAACACATTCATCAACCTGGAACCAATCGGGAAATCTTCGTCACTCAGCCAACATCAACAAAATTCAGTCGGTTTGATTTTCAATACAAACAACGTCAAGTCAGTCAGTTCTTCTATACGGATCAGATCATAAACTTGGCGGGCGGGCGGGTCACAAAGAATATTTCCAACAGGCTATTGCGGACCTTTATCAACAACTAACTGTCTTCGACCTATACTAAATGAAGATCAGATGGCCGGGCCGGAAAGAATCACCAACAAGAAACTATGGGAACAAACAAACAGAACAAGAACCAATCGCCAACCAACAAATATGCAGGAGAAAGTGGAGATGGATTGGACACTGGCTGACCATGCATATGGTCCGGGGTTCGACCCCCGGCCGGCGCACGCCTTTACCTCACTGAGCCAGAAATAATGCTGGTAAGGAGGAAAGGTTGGGCATGAGGCTAGCAACCCCATCCTGTAAAAATTAAACACTTCTACAGAAACTTCAAGCCACTAGCTTGGAGCCCTATGCTTCATTGGGAACGTGAAGGAAAAATTATTAATGTCGTTGGCCAGCGAACATTACTGGTTGATGTGACCTGGATACAACTATTCATTTGGAATCAATCAGTAGTATGTAAATTTTATGCAAATATGCTTTCTACCTTAACTGTCATTTATGTGATATCAAAAAGATCATATATTGTGATCTGAGTAATTTCTGACTCGGACTGCTTTTTTATTTCAATAAATTCTTTTTTTATCATCAGGGAGTCGGATCTGTCAATAGTACGGCCAATACGTGATCAAATCTGTGATCTGCTTCAAGTTCCTGTTCCAAAAGCTGTTAGCGTTAATCAGAATGAATAAACTACACTTCCGTTTTATAGTCGTATTCAATTCAAGTTTTCTTAAATGTAAAATTTCATTCCTTGCGGATTCATTGTATACTTTTTACGCGTTTTCAATTAAAAAGAGGGTTTTTTTAAAGACTGACTGACTACAAGTTTACTTTTCTTTTGTAATTTATTTACTTATTTATTGATTGATTTATTCTCAGTGTTTACTGACCTCAATAAATTGAATGCGTAAATTTTTCTTCTCACCTAGTAGTGGTACTCTAGTGCTTTCGATCATAGATGTCTGCGATCTCTATCTCACGTTAGGTGGTTTAATAAGGTAAGTAATGTTGATGTTAGGCGTAGAGTGTTGGGCAAGGAGGGAAATCAATCAACGAGGCTATAAAGTTATATAGATTGAGATGGCTAGGTCACGTGCTGCACATGCCTAACCATCGCCTCCCCCGACGACGGGCATTACTAGCTGATATAGGTGCAGGTTGGAAAAGAGTAAGTGGTGGCCAAACAAAAACATGGCCTCATCAATCCATGAAATCCTTGACAGTTAAACTGAGTCAGGTAGGGAGATGCAGACTCCCGGGTTGGGGCCCTCGGACCGACTCTAGGAATCAATGGCTGGAGACAATAGGTGACATGGCTCAAAATCGTTGTCAATGGCCAGCGCAGATGTATTCAGTTTCTGTAATCTTTCATATTTCTTTCTACCATTACCCGTTCTGTTTAGCTGTTATACTTGTGAAACTCTATTGATTCTCTTCAGTTATCTTCTTATCTACTTTTGTGTGCTATTTGGAACGTGGCAACTCGAACTTCTGCACTTCGGTGCCAAGTTCTATGTTGAATCCAGATAGACAGAGTACTCCAGTGCTGGTTTTCAGTGATTCTCTAACTGAAGTCATTTCATGAGTGATCGTTCCAAAAAAATAATCAAATCTTCCTGCAAACTAACCCTTGAAAATTAGTCTACTGATGATGTATGGTGTTGTTAAAGTTCATAAGTCATGCTACTCTATTAGGCCTATAGTTGATTTTAGAAATTCACCTACCTATGAATTATCTAAATATTTAGCCATGGTAATAAATCCCCTAAAAAGCCACTTGAAATCTAGACTAAAACCTAGATTAGATGATTTCAAATTAGATAATGAAGAAAAAATGGTTAGTTTTGACATTATCAGTTCATATACACGTATACCAATAAATATGGCTATAGAGGGAGTCAGAAACGAAGTCATTTCTGACCAAGAACTCGAACTTAGGACGAAAGTGCCACTTGAGGAGATAGTGCTGGGAGTGCAGCTATGCCTGACTTCCACAGTATTTAAATTCTAAGGGAAAATATACAAACAAACTGAGGGAGTTGCCATGGGATCACTAATATCCCCGGTTGTAGCAGATATATTCATGGTTAGGTGGGAAAACATAGCGATTGAAACGTTCATCCGCACCAACCCCAAAAGTATGGTGGAGGTATGTAGATGATACATTCACTGTATTTAGAACACAAGATATCGATAGATTTTTCAAACGCATTAACTTAGAGGTAGAGGCAATTCAATTCACTTATGAATTGGAAATTCAGGAAGGGGATCTTCCAATGTTAGTGTACAGTGTAAAAAGGAAAGAAGATGGGAAGTAAAACACACTGGTATGTTTACAGGACACCCACACATTCAAATAGATATTTTGACTTCCGATCATCCCATCCTATGCCAGTAAAAATAGGATTGGTGAAATGTTTAAGTGACAGAGAACAAAAACTAAGTAGTACTAAGGAAAATCCAAGACAGGAAGTGATACACTGAAAAGAAGCCTTGAAACTTAATAATTACCCTAATAAATTAGTCAGGAAATATGTAAGGAAATGTGAAAAAAAAATAATGATGGTAGCGATAGTGATAATAATAATAATATTAATGACGACATCAACAATAGAGAATCTAAATCATCAGTAGTAATTCCATACAAGGAAGGAACCTCGGGAACCACCTTACGCAGAATTCTTAACGATGCGGGCAGGAATAAAAGTGACTGGCATTCAAACCACCCACAAACTCAATTAAAAACAATCTTTGTCGGTTGAAGGATCAATCCTGGTGAGCCTTTAAGACAAAACAATTTAGTTTATCTAATACCCTACCAGGAATGACTGTCAGGTGAAATACATAGGTCAAACTAGTAGAACAGGGGCAGTCTGACTAGTGGAGCACAAAAACCTAGTAAAATCTAGATCGGTTGACCCGAATAACATATGAAATCTAGAAAATAGTTCAGCTATAGCACTCACCACATGCATTTCAAACAACCATACAATAGGATGGATGGGGTAGGATGACAGTTTTCAAATCTAATGTCACAGCTGGGTGGAGCGAGAGGTTGATAACAACGGAAGCTTTGTTTATCGAATCAACCGAATGAAAATACGTGTGCTAGGAATGATTCAACACTTGACCATCCAGACATCTGGAAAATTCTACTACCTCTACGGTGACAAATAGGAGAGGACAAAGAAAACTATCAAACTCAAGTCGTGATAAAATGATTTGAACAATAAATATTGTTCGAAACGTCATCCAGTAAGCAGTAATACTGTTTCACTGTGTGATACATCTAATAAACAGACTAATATGGAACTAATGATGATTCGCCTAGTCTAGGATAAAGTTTCTATAGGTAGAATCATCACTAGTAGGCGTTCACGGCATTTGAGTGTCAGAGTGAATACTCGCCAATGATGTTGTCTGATAGTTGGCGCTATATTGTGAATCGGCAAAAACTCATAGGCTAAATTATGATATCATCATGGTTTTGATTTATTAGATTTGATTAAAATTAGGCCTTAGTGAACATTTTAAACTCAAGAATAATTCTAGAAATAGGAAGAAAATATCATCTTAGATATTTCATACAACAAATTAATTTTCTCTTTTGGAAATATCTTGTTGGATGTGGACAGAATAAATTAGTTACAGGATTTCATCATGATCTGACATTGGTTAGAGAACCAGTGGAAAACTTGAGAGTACTGGACAGCTGTTTCGTCCAGGGTTCGAACCCAGGATCTTCTGGTTACAAGGCTAGCGAGCTCGTAGTCCATTAAGCCACTGGGACCCGATCCAATGGCCAGCCCATGAATTCTAACTTTTGACAATTCACGATACAGCGCAACTGCTAGCCAATGTCTTCGGGGGCGAGTATTTGTCCTTACTCCCGACCTGCTGCACCCTACTGGTCACGACTTCCCACTAGAACCCCAGGTAAGTATCTACCTGAAAAGGGCCAGTCGCCAGTTAGCATCTCATTAAAGTTAGAATTCATGGGCCATCGGATCGGTTCCCAGTGGCTTAATGGTCTACGGGCTCGCTAGCCTAGTAACCAGAAGGTTCTGGGTTCAAACCCCGTAGGGTGCGTACTGATGAAGAGTTCCAAACTATGGCGAAACAGTTGTCCAGTACTCTCAGGTCTTCCAATGGTTATCTAACTGATGTCAGATCATGATGAGATCCTGTAACCAATCAACCAAATGCCTACAAACGAATACTAGAATAAATTAGTATTGGTAAGTTCAAGATCTGTCCGATACTGCTGCATTTGCTCAAAACGATGCGACAAGTGTAAATTCTGTTGGAAGCCGACTATTTGCACATATTCAGCCGCTAGTAACAAATGAACAACTAATTGCTCGAGTCAATGGAATGCTTCTTGAATTACCATCTTTAGAATATTCAATATTAATAACGAATGAAGAAGCTTTATGCAATCGTGTTGATGAAGTGAGAGCCCTTATAACTATGTCTGATACAAATAAACAAAGTCAAAGCGATCCTCCTCGGATTCCTGTCACTGTTAGCCAACCATTTCTAGAAAATTTAGTAAACTGGCGTGATGTAACAGTACCTTCTTTTGTCGCTTCTACCACACAATCTAATCTATCTTCGTCAAGTCCATTTGCAGAAGATTTACAACGTGTTCCGCTTTTCTAGCAACCTGGTTTACAAGGTTATTATTTCCCTCAAGTAGTTTCTGGTTGTAATGTCGCCTCCAGCCATTCTTGTGATTTGACTAAACTAGCGGCAAGATATTCTATATACAGAGGCATTGGTCGCGTAATCGGCTTGTGCTTGCTGACGAATGAAACTTGTCCTTTACCCTTCAGTCGGCCTGTCTTGAAGTCTATTCTTGGTCGCGTTCTTCATAGGCATGATTTTGCATTTTACGACCCAGCGATGTTTGAAGGATTACGCCATCTTCATCACTGCGTCGGTGTTACAGTGGTTAGGATGCTCGCCGACCATTCACATGGTCCGGGGTTCGATCTCGGGCAGACGCACACCCGATATCAATGGTCGGCTTGCGAAATTGGGCTACCGATATCACATGCTGAAAATTCCATACTTGTACCAATAATACGGTGTGGAATCAAGCTATAATAAAAACAAAATGGTGTGATCGGTGCATAAAGGTATCATTCTAAACATTACTTATAAATAAATAAAAAATATAGCCAGATTTCAGTTTTTGAGAAACACATCATATCACTTGTTATTTCCATGGACAAATATCTTCAAGTAACGTCTAGGCATCGTTATTATTCAGGCCGGTGACACTTGTGAGACGATCTATTTCAAATTACCTTTTAATCAAAAACATTTATTTCCCGATATGAATTTAAACCAAGCAGTAAAGGTTAATAAAGCAGGGTGATTTAATGAATTCATCAAATTTCGGTAGAACTCGTCAGCTGAATACTCTACATACACGGATATATATACACTATTGAAATTACATTGGGAGATATAAGACTGATAAGTTAACAAACTACATTGAATTAGTCATGTAGAAAGACAGGTGCGAATGTTTTCCAGGTCATGTTCAAATAGAAAAGGAGAGAGAGAGAGAGTATGAGAGATCAATATTAAGACAAAATGCATTACGCTTCACTTTTATCAATTAGATAAACGATTAGTCATTAGAAAATATGTCAAGAATTGCAAACAGACTAATATCAATAGTAATAGTGATAATAACAATAATAGTGTTGAAGTGAGTTAAGATAATCCTACTGATAAAGGATAGTTTTAAATGAATCGAGAATAATAATAAGAGGTAGAATGAGTAGAACGTATTACCATGGTAGATTCAGAGTCACGACCATCTCCTTTTGTATACAGACACCTGGTTTATAAATTCGAACTGCACAAGCCTCTGCAATTGCAAGAATCTTCTTGTTTCTTTGTCTGCCGACAATAGTGAATGATTTGACAGCGTCGATATCATGTCCGTACTCCACAAGATGTTTTGTTATTGAGGCTTTTGGCACGTCGCACTCAGCTGAACAGTATATTGACAAAGTTCTTTTCGTAGTGGGTTGGAACAAAGCTCTTGAAATGCATGTACTGTCCTGTCAATGAAGACTCAAAATATAGATCTTTCGATTGCGCCATCATTCATTTTTTCTAGAAAAAACGTTTAGGAATTTAATAGTATCGTTTTCCCCGTGTTCTACTGTGACAGTGAGATTTGGATGGCGTGAGTTGAATTTTATCAATATGTTTTCGGCTTTTGATCTGCTTCCACAGACAATAAAAATGTCCCCAACATATCTAAGGTATACATTCGTTTCTTGTAAATGTTGCTGCAAGGCCTGACAAGAATAAGTCAGCGAAAAGTGGACCCAGAGGGCCAAGTAAAATCCTGAGTCGCATCATCCTGGAGAGAATAAAGGACGCACTAAATACAAAACTCCAACCAGAACAAGCTGGATTCAGGAGAGACAAATCTGGTTCGACCAAATTGAAACTCAACGCATCATCATCACAGAACCAAGCATGGAATGGCAATCAATCCTCTACCTTAACTTTATAGATTTTGAGAAGGCCTTCGACAGCGTTGACCGCGAAGTGATTTGGAAACTACTCGAGTACTACGGCGTACCGGTACCCCAAATATTCATCAACCTTATTCAACAGCTGTACAACAACGGGACATGTCAAGTGAAAAGTGTCAACGGAAAACTCAGCGAGGGGCTTGTAGTAAACATAGGAGTCAGAAAAGGGTGGTTATTATCACCAATGATATTCCTAATTGTGGTGGACACATCAGTCGTATAGACACAGAAGCGCATTTCGAGCACTTATACCATCAACTCTACGACCTGAAGCCCTTAGACGAAGATAAAAGAGGATGGCTAAAGTTTAAACTTGTTGATATTGCTAACCAATACCACATATCGCCAATGGAGAAGCAGAAGCTGCTGACCGAAGAGCATAGAATAGCTCTGAAGAAACTATATGAAAACGATGAAATCGTTATATTTAGACCTGATAAAGGCTCTGGTGTTTTATAATGAACAAAGCTGATTATATACATAAAATGATGACAATTCTAAACGACAAAAAAAATTCCAAGTAGACAACAAAAAAGATGCCACAACGTCACTTGAAAATAAAGTTAATAAATGTCTCAAAGAACTTCTAATGAAGAAACTAATCAACACCGAAACATATAATAAACTGAAGTCAAAATGTGGACGCCTGCCGTGTATGTACGGCCTACCAAAAATTCATAAAGCAAATGTGCCTTTAAGACCAATCCTGTTAATGATTGACTCACCATGCAACAAGCTAGCTCGATGGTTAGCTGATTCTATAGAGCCCATTCGAATTAAATTTGCAACCCACAGCCTGAAGGATAGTTATCAATTTTCCAAGGAAGTTGACAATATCGACATATCAGACAAACTCATGGTATTGTATGACGTGACCTCCTTGTTTACAAATGTACCACTGATGGAAACAATTGATATAATTTGTAAACAAACGGATCTACTACTGTTACCGGAAACAGAGATGAAGCGACTTCTACTGCTCTGCACAAAAGATATACAATTCAAATTCAACAATCAACTTTACCGACAAACCGATGGGGTCGCGATGGGTTCGCCTCTGGGACCTATCCCGGCTGATATCTTCATGGGCTACCTTGAGCAGACACAACTAAGTTCTGCTATCAATGGAACGACGTACTATCGCCGATATGTTGATGACACATTTGTTGTTTGCAACGATACGGATCACGCATCGGCATTATATGATCGTCTAAATGAGATCCATCCAAATATCAAATTCACCATGGAATATGAACATAATAATGAGTTCAATTTCCTGGATCTAAATGTAAAAAGAACAAACGAAGGCATGGTCGAAAAGTCCATCTATAGAAAAGAAACCTGGACTGGACAATATCTTCACTATAACAGCTTTTGTCCCATAAGCTATAAACGTGGATTAGTGAGGACTTTGTATGACAGAGCCAGGAAGCTATGTTCACCAAACAGGGTCGAAGAAGAATTAGTTTTCGTCGAGAAATGCCTAAGGGAAAATGGATACCCTAAGGGATTTATACAAAAATACAGCAGAGAAAAAGATGAGAAAGAAAAGCATCCAACTGTAGAAAAGAAAAAAGTGTTTATTTGTCTACCATACAAAGGAGATGCAGTGTCACAAAAGATTGAAAGGTGCAATAAATAGAAGCTTCCCAGCAGCAAAACTCATAACAGTATACAGCACCACTTCTTCTTTAATCCACTCAAAACTGGATAAATACCCTGCTGATGTCACCTCCAACTGCGTTTATGAATTCACGTGCACTTGCGGGAGCAAGTACATTGGAAGGACAGAAAGAAGGGCTTCTATCCGGTTTTCTGAACATATTCCCAAAAACCTGTGCCTGAAAGGAAGCAGATATTCTCAGAGTGCAATTACCAGACACATTGTGGATACCGGACATTTCGTAGAGATTTCTAAGTCCTTCAAAATATTAAATAGACAAAGGACAGCAAATTTACTACGATTTGCCGAAGCGATCGCAATCAAACAACTTAAACCAGACTTATGCATACAGAAAGAGAGTGTGATTAACCTCTCACTCCCTTGGTAACAGAATTTTGATTTTGATTAGTCATCTAATTCAGTGATCTCAACTCACTGAACAAATCTTAATCTCATAAACTGTAACCACTTTTGTTTTTTGAGTTGCTATGTGAACCTACAAGCTAACGCTGTTCTGTTAATCAGTTTTTCTGTTTTCTGTCTTACCCCTCCCCCTCTTTTCAACTTTAAAGGAGTATAAATTGATGATGAAAACTTAAACTAAAAATTGTAATGCTTTCATTTAGATGCATCAATTTTATAGTATCTCTTCTCTACCACCACTCAAACATTAAAGTATGTTATTATCACCTATAAAACCATTGTAATTTCAGGTAGTCTGCAGCTGATGAGAACCTGTGAAATAGAATGATGGTATCATTTTATACTGCAAATTTCGTCTTTCTTTCTTCATCGAAATTTATCATGGGAACCAAATGTATGAATAAATTTTTTACAAATGTAAACTGAATAGGACAACCTGAAGTCGTTTAAAATAATCAACAAGCAAAAGAACAGAGAGAAAGGTTAGTGTCCTCATCTATGAACACATACCAAAGAACTTGAGACTGAAAGGTCCGCAAGCATTGAATAGTGCTATTGCTCGTCATCTATTGGACACTGGTCATATTGTAGACAACCTGAAGTCGTTTAAAATAATCAACAAGCAAAAGAAACCCAGCTTGCTACGCTTTGCTGAAGCAACTGCCATCAAACGACTTATATCAAATCTATGTACGCAGAAAGAGACAGTGGTGAATCTTGCACTGCCCTGGTGATAACAAAAAAATATACAACTTTCATGAGTCATCTTTTTCATGTTTAGAAAACTCTACTCTCTCATCTAAACATGACTCACCCTACCTTGTTTGTTTCCTTTCCTTTTTTCTATTGGCTATTAGATAAGATGCTTTCTTTAGTTACGTAATCTACTTTTTTGTTATGCTCTTTCTAGCTAAACCTTGTTTCTATAAACATATATATATATATATACAACCCTGTTTTTTGTTTCCAAGCCTAATTGTCTAATTATTCTATAAATAGTCAGTGTTTGTAACTCCTAATCAGTTAAATCATTCCGGACTAATGTTACTTTTAATTCCTACCAATTACTCTTTATGATCGTGGAAAAGTATGTTCATATCTTTAATGTAATTCATATTTTTTAACGTTCAGGTTGTAACCAGTTGAGAAGAATCCTCGAAATAATAAAAGATGAGCTCATATTATCCTGGTACAATTGTTGTTCTTGCTTTGTTCAAGTTTATGAATAGGAATAATAGAGAAGATTTTTAGCTCAGGTGGATTAATTTTGAGTTAATAGTGTTCTCTGAGCTGGTTGGTTTGGTTTTGGAGCTTTGTTACAACATACTTCCAATTCAATACTCAAAAATACGATCAGATAAAAGGAACACCGATGGGATCATCGCCCATATCAGCACTAATAGCTGAAGCCATCATGCAAAGATTAGAATTCATAGCTCTGCCTATAATTAAGCCGAAAATCTGGGTACGTTACGTTGATGATACATTTGTAATAATTAGGAGAAATGATTTAGAATATACCCATAAATTAATAAACAACATATTTGAAGACATCAAATTCACCACAAGAGAAGAAGAACAGTTAGATAACAAAATCCCATTTTTAGATGTCTTAATCAGGAGAACCAACCAACACAGGAAATTTAGAAACACAAGTATATAGAAAATCAGCGCACACAGATCGAATAATCTATATCAAACGGTTTCAGTATTCTAGCTGTTATTTCAGAGACATTTTTCGTGTATAGGAGGATGAATTTTCTTGTGTTCTTTGATGATGGTTTCCTGTTGGTGCTGTGATCCGATTTTAAACACTTTTTGATGAAGTGCGGATATATCCATTCCTCTTTTTGAAGACCGTTTGTAGGTATTTTTCTTCCATTCTTTTCAACTCTGGAATGCTACAGTGTGTTTGAGCTCTTCCAAACAATATCTGCACATAGTTTCTTTTGTGAGTGAGTAATTGGATAATTGCTAGTATAGTTGAGTATTTGATCTGTGTGTGGGTGCGTTGATTTTCTATATACTTGTGTTTCTAAATTTCCTGTGTTGGTTGGTTCTCCTGATTAAGACATCTAAAAATGGGATTTTGTTATCTAACTGTTCTTCTTCTCTTGTGGTGAATTTGATGTCTTCAAATATGTTGTTTATTAATTTATGGGTATATTCTAAATCATTTCTCCTAATTATTACAAATGTATCATCAACGTAACGTACCCAGATTTTCGGCTTAATTATAGGCAGAGCTATGAATTCTAATCTTTGCATGATGGCTTCAGCTATTAGTGCTGATATGGGCGATGATCCCATCGGTGTTCCTTTTATCTGGTCGTATATTTGAGAGTATATATTAGGATACTGAAACCGTTTGATGTCGATAAAGCATACAAGCCAGTCAGATCACACTTAATTCGATATTGTGCAAATCAAAAGATCCAACAGAAAAAGAAGCGAGATAAAATTAATACCATTTACAAAATAAATTGCATGTATGAACTGTAACAGACATTACATCGGCGGTCCAAGTGGGCATCCCCTTCGAATCAGAATCCAGGAACACAAATCAGCTATGAAAAGACATGATATATATTCCTGTTTCATGTCAATGCATATAAGCAATTATGAACATCTATTTGATTGGGATAATGTCGAAATCTTAGACAGAGGATTTCCATTTCTATTTTTCATGCACTTTACCATTTCTCGATTTTATCCTCAAACTATGATTCTCATTGTCACAAGATTTACGTGTGAAATTTGAATAAACAACCATATTTTGTATATGTTATAAATTCGATTACATATATTATCTGAGTTCTTAGTGAGTTAGAAATTTGCTTTTAACCACTAGTTAGATAACGTTACTGTGACATTTTCAGAAAAATAAGTCAACTAACCTTCATATAATATAGAATTTATTACAGTAAACCATAGATAAAGGGTACAATCAATCCACACATAAATATCCATACTTTCACATACAAGAATGAAACGCTAGGTGAGACATAAAAAGACGTGTGCGCATTATTCATAGACTTCATTATGATCAGTATCACTGGATCAATTTTCAATAGACAACCATACAGTATTAAACACAGACAACTCTTTGATCATTTTCATCCTGTTTCAGATGAATATGAAAATTTTTGCACATTCTTATCAGTGTGGGATTATTTTCACAATTTTCTTTAAATGCTGGTAGGATACATTTGGTAAACTCGAGAGTGCAAGCATGACTTGGTGAGCATAAATCTGTCATCTTTTGAGCCATCTCATCTGATGGTTGTGAACGATTGAATTCATCTATATCATCCTGTGAAGCTTTATCAGAAATAAAAATAAACATTGATAAAATCAATAATAAGTAGGATTACAGTTTAATATGAAGAGAGATACATTCAATTGAACAATTGGAAAATAATACACTGTCTCTGATAGATGCTGAAATGTTCCATCAGCAAGCTTGAAGTCATCTTGTTCAACCAGGGCTAAGTGGACTCGCAGAGAGATCGGTATAGAACACAACACCGACATTTTAAAATAATAATCTCACAAGTTTTAGGAATCAGTACTGAGATCTACGAATTAAATTTCCAATGTGGTTCCTGAAGCAAACAAATACCTTTCTTGTGAGTCATATTATTATGGCAGTTATCAATTTTTGATTCCATAACGTTCCGAGTGGGACATAGGGCTTCAAACTAGAGCTTTAAAGTTTCGGTAAGTGTGAGTTGTTGTTTTGTTTTATTTTTACGAAGTGGGGTGGGGTTTCTAACCTTACGCCCGAACTTCCCTATTTACCGGCTGGCTTGGAGAGGTTTATGAGTATTCTGGTAGGTGATCAAACTACGGACCAATCTCGTGGTTGACGAGCGATTGAACGCGGAACCACCGATACACTACTGTGGTATTATGTATCAGAAATCCGATGGCTAGAAAGTTTGCCATCACTCAAATATTTCTTCATGAACACCGAAATATAGTGTGTACTTTTCCACATTTCCCCTGAAATAATCGAAGCACCACGACTAATTATGTCGTTAGCTATTAAAATGGAACTGTATTATTATTGTTCCCTTGGATTCCTAGTGGAACACAGGGCTTCAACTGCAGGTCTGCACTTGGTTCTGTCTTCTGCTATACTTTTCACCTGCATCCATGTTAGTCTATATTCTTTCAACTCCTCTTCACACCATCTCCTCCATGTCACCCACCCTTGCACTGACGTCCCACTCGCCGCTTCCCTTTCGGGCTGGTTCCACTCAAGAAAATGCCTGATGCGCGCGCGATGTCACCCAGCGGCCTCTTCAGCGAGCAAGTGTCCAATCCATCTCCACTTTCTCCTTCACATTTGTTGGTTGGCGATTGGTTCTTGTTCTGTTTGTTTGTTCCCATAGTTTCTTGTTGGTGATTCTTTCCGGCCCGGCCATCTGATCTTCATTTAGTATAGGTCGAAGACAGTTAGTTGTTGATGAAGGTGTGCAATAGCCTGTTGGAAATATTCTTTGTGACCCCCCCGCCCACCAAGTTTCTGATCCGTATAGATTACTAGATAACTAGCTCGCTAGTTTTCTAGCCGGTTCCAAGCCCGGATAAAGAGGTAGGATTTGGGCATGGTGCAAGCAACTCCACGCTTAAAACTTAACCAAATTTCTATAGAATCTTCAAAGCAAAAAATGGAACTGTCATACCTTGAAACTATTTGCTTTACAATCCACGCATTTAAGAACCACCAGTGGAAATGATATAAACTTTGTTGGTTTCACTGTTTCAGTGATGGTGAATATTACACCCAATTAACACGATGGGCTTCTACAGAAACTCGATTCTCACATAGTTAACTTAACAAGAAGATGTCTAACTTCGAAATCAAACTGTAACTAGAACTAGTAACGCTTTGAGCAGTCCATTGACATACGCTTCGCTAAAGCGTGTCAACAAACAATCAATTTCATTCAGGTAGCATTATCAGTGAACTAAATTAGAGTCAGAAATAAAAAATATTTGTGTGCATAACCCAACTCTCTTTACTCCTGATTAATTCCATTATTCTCTTCACTTGAGAATAAGAATGCAGTGATTATTTACAAAACCAGCACTTGTAAACTAATCTCATGCTCACTAGTGACTGAGTGAAGCAGAAATTTGCCTGAGGTTGTCCTGAGTAGAAGTTCCACCAAGTTGGGTGTGAGGGTTCAATGGCTCACTGATGACATCGTCTGATTGCCATGCTATGGTTTGCAAATTGATAGGAATCGGAATTCATGAGCTGTTGAGCTTCGTCCGAATGACTGAATGACATCACAGAACACTGTGTAACGTGAATGTACCAGGTTCGATCTGTGGTGGGGAATGAGTGAGTGAGTATTAGTGCAGAGTTTCAAATTATGATAAAACGGCTACTCAGTACTCACTGGTTTTCAGTGGTTCTATAACACTGATGTCAGTTCGTGATCAACATTGAAATCATTTAAATTCCTGGAAACAGACACCCAAATGTTACTGTTAAACTAAGTACACCTGTACAACACAATGATCTACATTATTGCACATTATAGGTCAATAACTTCATCTTACTATTCAGCAAATGCAAATAGATAAACGTGTTTTCTCCTAATGACGACGGAGAGTTTTAGTCATGGTCGATATTAGAAAGAAATTTAGGCACTGTGATGGGATATAGTTCCATAACTCAACGACGTTTTCGATGTAACATACAGCGACACTGTATTATAACTCACTCATTCATGAATTCCAAACACGAGTTACACTTCACAATCATGGAAAGTCATTCACATGCATCACATAGGTATAGTGTTACCTCAACACTGGAGATTTAGAAATGAAGATTGATGACAAAATCAACGGATGAGTAGTATGAGGATTTATGTGTGTGTGGCGTGAATTTACTCGGAGAAATAGGGTGTGGTTTATATGACATCAGTAAAAACCTAATACACTGTCACTGTGTACTACGTCAAATAGAATTACTCTATTGTGAGAAGAAGTCGAACAGTGACAAACTACTTATGTTCATCCGCAAAAGATGAAGTTTCGTCCGACTATGTGTCGTCCGAGAGTGGTAAGTAATAACCTATGGTAAATTGGAGATCAGATGCTTCTTCGCATCGCTGTATAGGTGAATGTGTTTTTGGCATCTCACATTCCTCCACTCTTAAAACACATCTCTAATTATTACAATGTCTAGTGTTTGAAAGTCAAGCAGTAGAAAATCCAAATATTCGACTGACTACAATTAACTTTGAGACAATCACACACTAACAAACATCGCCAGCCATCAATCACATTCTATGAAGAAGTGGAAAATGAATGAAATCACTCCAACAGGACGAATATACTCACTCTTAGGTGAGTGCTTTCACATAGTGAGTTGAATGTAGATTGGGATGGCGTGGGTGTGCTGCAGCACGGATAAGTGTACTTGTTTATCTCACCTCGATAATGTGATGGAGGCTGACTAAATAGAATAGACGGGAAGTGTCAACTCACTGAGAATGAAGTCAACTGAAAAATGTCCGTCAGTGAAGAGGCAATGACACGGATTATCAAGAATGATGATTGATTCTTCTCAGCGTGATATCTGCGAGCATGGGAACTCGCCATGTTCACCTCATTTTGTACAATGTGGAACCGGCCTGAGTTGCATAATCGAATGTTGACTAGAGTGCGTAATTGTTGTAGTTGGTGTTTTCCTCATCAGGAGAATGTGGTCAGTCGCCTTGCTAATCGATTGACATCACTGTATGCGGGTCAGTTGGGATTAGGAAGAGTGATGTGACTGTTGAGAGTAGAATGTCATCAGTATGCGTGTATGTGTGGGTGTGTGTGTGGTATATCGATCTGTGTCAGATAAGGAGAATAGAATTGATTTCTGATGCTGTGATAACAAGAAACGAGCAAACTGCCAATCACTTCAATAAGGTCGACACACTTACCCATGAAATTCTATGCGGCTCTGAGTCACCAGCTCACTGATGGAATATCTCACTGGTGAAATCTGTGTTGTGGACGCTATGATTGTTTCAGCTGAAAGAAGCGGCTTTGAAGAATGAGAGGATGATAGTGGAGGCATCTTTTGTGTTACAAGTATGTTATGGTCAACATTTGACAAACCTCGAGATGTGATTATTCCCTCAACTATTTGAGTATCATATAAACAACATGATCGACGGTTGGCGCCCGGTTCATACTACACACCTTCATTTCCAATTTCATGGTTTTGTTTCATGAATTAACGAAATACGCAGCATGAGATGTTTAGTGCTGTTAAATGGCTTGTGAGGATGAAGAGGAAGACATTTGCAGAGTGTGAGATGTATGAATTCGAACATTCGGGTTTCAAAGTTGTTTGGTTTGATTACTTACGGTTAAATCCCTACTATATTTAACGAAGAAACGTCTTTATATAAATGAAAGGAATCGACTGCTAGTGAAAAGTTATGATAGCAGATATATATAAGAAACCAATTATACAAGTTTAATGTAATCTTATTGCACGACTTACTTATATTAGTTACACCCAGTGAAAATGCTAAGCAAAGATGTTCCACTTCCGCCAAGTCATTGCATACATCTTCCGTATTCGTTGTATGACCAGCAGTGATCACTAAACAAATGATAAGTGAACACTTTGCGGATAAACTGAAGGAAAATGTGAAGGACATTATTTTTCAGTAACCAGTGATTCGCCTGATGTTTTATTTGGTATATTTATATGCTTTTTACTTTGTTCAAACTAGACTTTCGCATATGTTTGTATGCACTTACAGGTTATGACACACATTTTTATGGAGGTGGTTATGAGTGAGTAGAACGGTGAAACACATTTGAATATTTTCGTATTATGAGAGATTTCTTAGAGTTAACAAATATACATTCTGATTGACATGAATTCACCAAATGACTGATGTTGTTGTTATTCCTTTTGTTGACGGATTCACCGTACTACCAGTTCGGAGAACACTTTTTCACATATTCAAATATTTTCTGAAAATAAGTGAGTGACATGTGAACGCTATCCATGGCCAACGTATTCCAACCAAAGAGTTTGCTATCGAATTATTATCATACTGGAAACTTTTGAGGGCGATTATATACCATAGCCTTTATTTTAAGTGGTGTCATCTTTATACGGTGAGTCTTTTGAAGATTTCAGTAAATAATAAACCAAAATATACCAGCAAAATTTCATGAAAATTCGATGATATACGTCTAAGTGTTGAATTTACTATCTCCTTCAATTGATTACATTCTGCAGACATCAGTATCACACCAGATAATTTGACATAAGTGCAGAAAATGAAACGCACTCCAAAAGTATAATGCCACCGATAATATATACAGTAGAAGAAAACGCTTAATGTACAATTTCATTTGGGAAGCATACGAAAGATACGACCTGTCATTAAACCAGTTTAGAAACGAACTACGACGCTCCAGTTAGTGGGGATATACAGTAAAGTCACTAAAATTTGGTGACATTTTGATGAGGACCTGTTAGAAATGTAATTCAGGCACTTGTCTCAAGAAAACAAGTAGTTCATCGAAAAGAACACTTTTGAATAAACATAAAATTGCGAAAATGGATCAGATCATTAGGCTAATGGGATAATAATAGCAATGTTTATAAAGGAATTCAAATTGTCGATTGCACACATGTTTGTGCATACATAAAACCGTGTAAGTCTCTTCAGCTTTTCGACTGTACGTCTAATATCAGTGATGACATGGAAAAACCATTTGTCCACCTAAATAATTCGGCTCCTGACAGTAGTTATTTAAAGAGGTCATCTTCCTATTTCTCGATATAACGTTCAAATTGTAATCCAACACAGAGCGCGTGTTCCGAGAATCGTTGGTAAATGGAAATTGAATGACTCTGACTGACCAGTCAGCTAACACCTCGACCAGCGTGTTGGCAGAACGAGCAGGAAGTGAAGACAGGAATTCAAGTGAACTTAGAAAAGCCACAGAGGTGAGGAAGTTACACGACAACTTAAAGCAACAACAAAAACCAATCACTGTGCCAACGGGAAAAATTTGAAGAAAGTTACCTCTTTCAAACACGGATGAAGATTTGACAGACAGTATTGGAAAAGCAAGACCGAACTTCATTACACTGAAATTAGTGTGGAAATCTGCTGGACTCAGCTCAAGGTACAAGATCGACATTTTTAACCACAGTGTTAAATCAGTGATTACGTTTGGTTCAGCGACTTGACAAGCACGTCACGCAAATCACTTTCAACAGCCTACTGCAGACTTACATAATAAGCTTCTTTCGCTATCTCGATGTTGAAGATTTGTTGGTCAGCCATAAATTGTAAGCAAGCAGATAACAAGGAACTCTGGAGATGAAGTAACTAAGATCTTATTGCTCAATAAAAAACACTTAGTATTGCCCATCTTCACACATAACAGTTGAGCGACCATGTTTAATTAAGTTAGACAGCCATTTAGAGTGAAGCGAGTGATACATGAGACCATTATTTAGTTTCCACTTAAATGGTGAGAGACAGGAGAATTCTGATGAAGCCATATTTATCCTCTATTCTCTTTACTCTTGTAATCAAAAGGTACAGCACTAGAAAGCATCAGACATAAGACTTTCTAGAGCGTATAGTAAGTAAACTCACGAATGGAAGTTTTTCAGTACTGAGAGAATGAAATTCTAAAATTCAGGATTTAACACAGTCGGCAATCTGATAAATGCAATAATTATAAGAGGTTTAAGCACTGGTTCATTGAGGTTTCTAACGAATAGGACGAAAGCATGTGTTGATATAAATGATAGAAGTTGCGATTCCTAATGGATGAGAATTGAAACAGCTTGACAAATGTTCTTTTAACACATTTCACTTGTGTTCATTTGTAAGACTTCAGCACTATTATTCAGGTGTTAGTTTTTTATGAAGATTTAACTGAGTTACCTTCAGACTTCGTCGCACAAGTACATCAGTCAGATATTTAACGCAAAAGAACAAGCGCTGAATGGGTATTTCGACTGGTTATAAACTAATCCCTGAAGTTGTGCACATCAACGCCACATGCCTCAATCGAAAGTGATACATTCAGTTTGGAACCTGAGCAGTTAAACATTTCATGGTTGGTTATGAAAAATGTCAGAAATGTCTAGTTAATGTTACTAACAGTTATGTGGAGTATGAATTTATTCAATCAGTTGCCATCTTTGTTGACACTTCACGCTATCAAACAGTTGAAGGGATAATGTGCATCACATCGCCCAGCAGTATCTTTCCACGCAGTTAAGCAACATAACTGGACACTATAACGATGGAAATACATATCAACACGATTGGTATTATATAACTAAGGATTATCGTTCAGAACATAATATTACAGTGGCTTGGTCGTCGCCTATCCACCTTTTGTCAGGAAGAGTTTTTGTTCAACGCACTCTATTATTGAAACCTGGTACTGGTTGTGTCAGTTTGATGTGAAATACTCATTTTGAAGATGTCCTAATTATGTGTTCTTCAATTAAATGTCACCAATTAGTTACTGGAAGTTCAATCCAATACCGACAAATGAACAAATTGTTCAGTTTATCAGACCTTCAAAGTTCGCTAGCTATCGTTAGTGTTGATAGAATCAAAGTGGCTGAAACACATTCATAACTGTCATGATGTTCATACAACCAACTTTATTCCCGATAACTCAATCAAGTTATGTGAAGAAAGAGAGTCCATGAATTAGAAGTAATAATTCTGCACTGAATGAAAAGTAGAAGGACATTTTGGTGAACAATAAGAAATGGATGCATCCCTGAAACAAATACTCATGCAAATTACTAGTTATTAGGGGTTACAGAAATTTAGGTCATACAGAATTAAACCAATGATCCCAGTGCATAATTATGACTTATAGGACGGGTATGCTTCCTCTCACATTTTTGAACACGCAAACACACACTGATAAACACCAACCAGAATGAATGAAACTGTGCTCATATATATATATATATATAAGACTTGATGACGCCACTGCTGGAGAAGGTGTGGAAAGAGGGCAAAGTACCCGAGGATTGGAAGAACGGATACTTATTCAAACTACCAAAGAAAGGAGACTTAAGTCAATGTAAAAACTAGCGTGGAATTATGCTTCTGTCCATTCCAAGCAAGATACTAAGTCGCATCATCCTGGAGAGAATCAAACAAGCCCTGGATCAAAAACTTCGTCCGGAACAGGCCGGATTAGGAGAAACAAATCATGTATCGATCAAATCGCCACTCTACGGATCATCATTGAACAAAGTTTGGAATGGCAGTCACCTCTCTATCTCAACTTCATCGACTTTGAAAAGGCCGTCTAGACAGCGTTGATCGAGAGGTGATTTGGCAACTACTTCGCTACTACGGGGTCCCATCGACAATTATACATCTCATCCAACAGTTATACGACAATGCTGCATGCCTCCAAGTAATCCACAACGGGAAACTTACGGAAGCCTTCGAAGTGAGGACGGGAGTGCGACAAGGCTGTCTACTATCACCAATGATCTTCCTGATTGCAATTGATTGGATAATGCGACAGACAACGGCAACCAACGAGGGAACAGGCATAAAATGGACTGACACAAAAGACTTGGAGGATCTGGATTTCGCCGATGATATATGTCTGATTTCCCACAAACTGGAAGATATGCAAGTGAAAAGCAACAAGTTGGCACAAGAAGCATCAAAGATGGGACTTCAAGTGAACATAGATAAAACAGAGGTAATGAAGATTCCTAGCCAACATCAACAGCAACAACAACAACAGACAACAATCAGCATAAATGTGAGGAACCTGAAAGAAACAGCCTCCTTCACCTACCTGGGAAGCATCGTCTCAACTACAGGCGGAACTGACGAGGATATCAAAGCCAGAATCGGAAAAGCGAGACAAGCTTTCATTACTCTCAAATCTGTGTGGAGGTCAACAGCACTCAGCATCAAAAATAAGATCCGGATTTTCAACTCCAATATGAAGTCAGTGCTACTATACGGATCAGAGACTTGGCAAGTCATAAAGAGCATCTCAAACAAACTTCAGACCTTCATTAACAGCTGTCTTCGCTCAATACTCAAGATCAGATGGCTGGCCAGAAAAGATCAGCAACAGGGATCTCTGGCAATGAGGGAACCAATCAGGAACCGATTGTGAAACGAATAGGCAGGAAGAAATGGAGATGGATTGGCCATACACTGAGGAAACCATCAAGTGACATCACTAGACAAGCCCTCGAGTGGAACCCGAAAGGGAGGCGGCAAGTTGGTCGTCCAAGTGTGACTTGGAGGAGGTCATGCGAGGAGGAGATGAAAGCATGTGGACAGACCTGGAGCGGAGTGAAAAAGTTGTCAGAAAACAGAGGGCAATGGAGGTGCGCAGCTGAAGCCCTATGTTCCTCTAGGAACTAAAGGATACAATAATAATAATATATTCTTGAAGACGGACTGCCAAGTTCTGACAATCCAAGGTAAATTGCAGTGCGTGGTAGTGGTGTGTGACTTATTTTATTATTCACACTGCTCACTTTATGAACACATCTTCCTCAATCGAATATGTGTTAGATAACATTGATAACACATTGATCATTGTCTGAAGATGAATCTTTCTGTATTCAAAGATACATTTGTAAACGAGAAATGTTCAGGTGAAAGTG